GGTAATAGACTGCAGACACACCAGCTATAAGAACACTTTTAAGTTTAGGCTAGTTTTTAGAAGTTAACACTAAGATCTTCCAGAGCTCCGTTGTGATTTATAATGTGAACATAAATTACTTGTACAGGGAGGGATGTAGTGCTGCAATTAATAATTGTTTTTCTAATCAGTTAATGTGATTATTCCTTTCTTTGATGAATTGAATAGTTGTTAGATCTCAAAAGGCCTGTGCATATGAGACTTTTAATAAATTGGACCCACATAATGTCTAGTGATGCTCCTATAGTTACTTTGTAGTTACACATTTGCTGTATCATTTTGATTTTGAAGTAGTGCTTTGAATCATAAAACATCTTCTCTCTGCAGACAAAGTCAGTTATTTTTTAGACATCACTTATTCACTTACTAATAAATAATATTATTAATGAAAATAAATATTTTTTTGTTGTTGCTGTTTATCCTAGCCTTTTCCTATTTTTATCCCTTTTGTTGGTTATTTTTGTTGTAAGAATCTATTCACTTGTTACAAAGTAATGCATTACTGTGTAATCCAATATAGAAAACTTCCTTGCCTTAAACAAAATAAGCTTGTGTTACTTTACTGGTGATGATGGCGATTGCCAAGGTAAAGCCATGTTCAACAAAACAATATAATTTGCTAAAGGACTTCCTACAATCAAAGTGACTTATTGTCTTTTTAAAGTAATCAATTGTTTGCCACACAGTTCTAGTTGGTGCCTTATGGTAGGTACAGGCTGTGCAGTTACTATGTTATATGCAATATAATACAACATTTAAAATGTGCAGCAGTGATAACGAGCTTAGAAAGGACTAAACCAGGACCAAAACAATAATGTGAGGTTCAATAAAGACAACGTGAAGTGGTACATAAAGTCACAGCACATTCAAAATAGTATTGGTGCTGTACTCAAATGAGTATTTCATAACATTGCACAGTCCATATTCCCTATTGGACACTTAAACCTGTACAGTCCATGATGATGAGATCTGTTTTGGGATGCCCCCTGTTCCCATGGCCCCGGTGAGCACACTGGCATCTCACCACAGCCTGTGGGTGTGTCCATCACTGCACAGTAATTAGCTGTCTGTGGTTAATTCAACTTTGTTATCTAAACTATGCAAATGCAGCATTTAATTGATTAAAAACGCCCCTGTTCCATTGCAGGCCTGTCCCAATCCTTGTCCTTAATCCCTGAGACGCTCTGTTGCTCGTTAGCGTTGGAATGGGGAGTAGAAGGGGGCTTTGCTGGCATATAGCTCATTAATACTCTGTGAAGCGTGTGTATTATGGAAAGGGGGGGGTGGGGGGCTTGTTAGGAGCTTTTGATGTGTAATTTTATGGCATGAGAACGAGTGATGTCTGGAGAAGAGGATTTGGACCCCCCTCTCAATCCACCTGTTGGGCAGTGTGCGGATGCCAACATGGGTCTCTCTCAAAGCTTTGTCCGAAAAGCTGGTCTCAGGGATCGAGGAGAGGAAGCCAAGGTCTGATTTATTTCCTGCCAAGGCTTTTATTCGGGGAAGTACAACACAGATGGATCTCCACTTGAATTTGCTTTATACATTTGATCCCAGTTGAGCCAGATTCACTTGACTCAAAAACATTAACTCTGTTTCTTTACATTACATGCCCTGACAAAAAGAGGGTTGATTGTAGTATGTCACAGATATCAAGCCAAACCTCTGGAGGTTAAAGGACAGTTTAGACTTTGAAAATATTTATATATTGGCATTTATTGTGAATGTTCTTCACTCAAAACAAAAAGCCTTTACACGTTTTTATGTAAAACTGTAGTGGTATGCATGGATCTTTAAACTAACTGCTACTTTATTATTTTGCCAATTTATCTGCCTTTTTAAACCTCATCTATAAAATGTCCTAAGTGATTATGCCCTTACTGTTAAGGTAAATATGTAATTGCATTGTTTTTGAGTATCATGTACAGATTTTGAGGAAAAACACAGCAGGTTTTTGTAGCGTAGCATTGGACTCTTAGGTTGTAGATGTCAGTAATATTTACATGATCACTTTTGGTGCTTATAGCTGTCTGTCCTTTTAGTCCACAGCCCTGGCCTGAGTTGCATGAAGAGACACAGAGTAGGGAATATGGACATTAAGTGTGCTACTCTAAAACACTCCCTCTCATTGACTCTGCCCTGCTCTCTCCTCCTGCTCGCCTGCCAGTTGACATCCTTACTATTAACCACTAACACTACTACTATTGCATTGGCTTCGTAAACCCCCATCAATTTGAGTAGTGCCCCCCAATGCACTTTTGGTCAATGAGCCCCCCCTTTCCCCTCTCTTTGGTCATTGAGCGGGGGCCCGTCATCAGCTCTTCCTCGGACCCTTCAGAGTAGCGTCTCCCCTTTCTCAGAGGGTCCACGGGGTCTTTGTCCGTGCGCCGGCTCACTGCTTTACAATGACTCTCCACTCTATTAAGGTGCGTTCTGCCTGTTAGTGTCGCTAGGGGCAACCGGCCTCCCGCATGGCAGCTATGCGGAGTGGCATTGTGAGCCCGCGGGCTCGAGCAGGGCAGTTGAACCCCCGGCACTCCTCACACTTGACACCGCATGTGTTTATCTAAAGGGGGGGGGCCTTTATGGTGTTTGGAGAAGCTCGAAGAAGTAGTAGTAGGAGGAGGGGTGTAAAAAGACGTAAAACTGGGGGAAGGTGGGAGTGGGGTTGTGGAGGCGATAAATATTCAACAGCACCTCAGAAGGAGTTAGTGCTCAGCATAGTCTCCTCCCTCCTCTGTGTCCTATCCATGCCAGAAAACAGATGGAATGTGAGCGCACTGGGAGGAGGCTCCAGTCTGGTTTTATCCAATTAGCAGGGTTGTCAAAATGAATTTATCCACCCAGGCACGACTACAATGGGACCGGCAGTGGCCCAGGAGATATGGGGCCCTGGTAACTTTACTTTACAGGCTCACAATGAACTTCTGTCAAGTGACTCCACCACATCAACATACAAGCCCCTCACATATCTACAGTCATAATGCATGCCTGCACTTTGATCAGCAGCTTGTGGCCTTCACACATCTTCTCAGTTCAGTAACAGGTCTTTTATTTCATCATTATTAATACTGTTAAAACCTGTTTATGTGCTCACCATAGCAAAAAACAACTTCACATTTTGTAACAGCACATGTTTTTACCATGCAGGGCTTGGTTCACATTGCTTAGGCCAAGCACATTCCTGGTTTATAATTTAGTGGAGCTGTCTGTCTGGGTGCTCTGGTTTTTATCAGTCTCGCTGATGCGTAGGAGCCTCTTCTCTTTCTGTCTGTGACCTTTGTGAGAAGGATGGATGGAAAAAGTTAGGGATAGATGTCAGTGCAGCATTTTCATCTTGATGCAGAGCATCCACTAAGCAAACACAGGACCCAGCTGACTAATGAATCAGGCTCTTAGAAGTGGTCTTTTTTAAGGCAGTGATGATGTATTACTGCCTTTTGTGCATGTAATGTTAAAATATACGTGCTTAGCTTCAGTAACTACTCTAGTTCATTATGAACATAACAGATTACATTATGTTCATAAACTGGATGTGCTGGAAGTAGCTTGCCCTGTTGTCGGCCCAGTTGACACAAAGATGGGTGTAGTTTATGGCTTGTGACCCTGCAGACAGGGACAGGTGCTTAATACAGATGTAGGGGCTCTCATGAGCAGTTGTCCTGGGATGTGTCCATAAAACAAGCTGCCACAGAAGCCACAGGCCTTCAGCCCTGCTCACCTCTGATCCCACAGTAGCTCTCTATATTTGTTTACTAAAGTGACCTTTATAAATGCAGCACTTCAGTAGGCCGGTGAGGTCTACCAGCTTGTGTGGTACAAGTTATTAGTCATCACTTACCTAAAGACAAACAATGCCTGCAGCAAATATGTACAGGTTGTCAGTGCTCTGCTTGATAATGCACAGTTTCTGCTCTGTGTGTATTGAGATCTTTACAGATGTTTACTAATTAGTTACATGCAGTTAATTTCTTTCAATGCTGCAGTGTTCTGCCGTGTGGCAGTTGGCAGAGTGCATCGCAGTTTCCACAACTCAGTTTCTTTGCTCATTTTCATTGAACCTGCCAAGCAGCCAAACATTTTCACTGGGGCCACTGGAAGATGCAGGGGAATTGTCAGAGTTTCCATGCAGTTCTGCTTTAGCCTCCATTTCTGTGTTGTGAAATATGTAAATGATTGTGTATGAATATAGGCCTCATTATTCATCCTCTAGTCCAGACTTCTGTGTCACAGTTTACTTGAGGTAATTGGGCAGTATGTAATATGTATGTATGTTTCTGAGGCAGAGGAGAAAAAAGATCCAGTTTTGTAGGACCACCCTCCTCATCCTGACGGGAAGTTGTTAGTTTAACCTGACAGGAAAGAATTTGGGAAACTTGGCAGCAAGCGACAAGGGAGAGCGAAAAAGCTCCCTGTCCTGCATTAACTGTTAATAGACTCACCATTAGCATCACCTTCTCCATTTGCCTCTGATACATACAGCTCTGAAGCATAAGAGAAGTGTCCTCTCTGCTACCCCACACCCTCTGTCTGTGATATATATTTCTTTGGGCCCCCACTTCATGGCCTGCCTCTCATTAGCTGAGCTTTGTCCCATGCCCTGAATGCAGCCTGTGTGCTTTTACCTCCCCCTGCCTTCTCCTGCCAGACCCTCTACCTGTATCGGTTACACCTGAGTGAGAGGTGCAGGGTTTGGGTTACATGCCGCAGAATGAGGGTGCCCCTTTGATAAGCCGGAGTGGGATGGGTGCGGGTGCAGGGCTGGGGTCAGCTATGAGATGGGGGCTGTTGGAAAAGAAAGGCTTTATTTGTGTTGAGAGTGACTCCTGAGGTTAGTTCACCCTGAGCAGCCTGGTATGGTGTGATTTTCATTAAAAGGTGCTTCTTTGTTTTGTGTATTCAAGTAAAATGTATGTAGCCTACATAACCACTATTAATGTCATTACATTGTCTTCTTTCAGAGGCAGTGCATGGAAGATGTCTGGAAAGCGAGGTTGGACTCCATGGATGAGAAAGAAAAAGGCTCCAGTGTTGTGTGCTCTGGGGGCTGTGCTTCTGTGCTGCCTGCAGAACAGCACATCTCTTTCTGGTACGTTCTTATATATTATATTATGTTATACTTGCACTTCTAGTTGTTCCCATAATTGTTTGGACAGTATTGGTAGTTCTTGTTTCTACAGTAAACTGATTGATGTTCAATGTCTCCATCAGATGAGGTGCCTGTGTTCATGGAGGAGCCTTTGTCCGTGGTGCAGAAGTTGGGGGGCAGTGTGACCCTGCGCTGCAGTGTGAAGCCCACCTCGGCCAACATCAGCTGGAGGCTGAATGGAGTGGAGGTGGGACAGAGCGACCTGGGGGTGTTACTGGGGGTCAGCAGCCTCTTCATCCCGACTCTCACCAACACAACCCTGGGCAGATATCAGTGTGTGGCCAGCACGGCTGCTGGAGCTCTGGCCAGTGTCCCTGCAAATGTCACCGCTGCCAGTGAGTAGCTGCCCACACAAAGCCATCACAAATAAACACGTACACACTGGGCTCACTTTGTCAGAGCATCAGTGACTTAATGCTCCAGGAGTAAACCAAAAACAGAGGCTGCTGCTATTTATTTGCTTAAATTTCTGAACAAATACAAAGCTATAAACAGTGTACTTTTCCACTGCCTCACTCAGGCCTTGCCAGTCTGAGTCTCAAAGATTTTCATTCAGTTTTGGAGGAATGATGATTAATGCCCTGTAAATATCCAATGCACTTTGACCCAAACAGCTGTGTACATACAGAGTGACATTGTCCTAATGAAGTTGGGAATGAATTATTCATTTTCCTATTTCAGAGCTGTGAAGTTTTGAGTGCTTGCTGTTATATTTGATATGCATCATGGGACAGAGAAGTTGTGTAACCTGAGCCACAGGAATGGAGGTAGATCCAGGGGCCGCAGCCGGTCAGAGACGGGACCCGGTCTCCAGCTGGGGCCCCGTCTGTACGTCTCTCTACTCCCAATAGCTCCACATTCCTGTCTACAGGGCTTGGAGCATCACAAATCATGACCCTGTAATTGAGTCACAAGTTGTCAAAAACGAAAAAGTAATTATTAACTGTAGAAAAAAAACTCACTTTCTCTGTCTTGATTTTAGTGCTAGAGAGTTTGTGTTGTGCACACACAAGCTCCAATGAACAGATGAATCATGTTGCGATAACTACATGTGGAGCCAGATTTGCCTGCTCCACCTCCCTCTTAAAATTATTTAATTTAATAATGGCTTTGCCTTGGCCACCCTCAGACTGCCTCCAACGGGACTGTGTTGCGTGCTTATCTTTCTATGTGAACTTATTTGTGCACATTGTGTTTGTAATTAGGACTCTTTCTCTTTTTTCATCACAACCTAAAGTCTCATTGCCACTTTTTGCACAATGTAGCAATGTGAACACACAACATGTTGCACAAACATTTTATAATTCAGAATCATATGCACTGGCCTCCTGTAGAAACACATAAAGATGATGAATACACTGGTTCTTTCGACACATTTAGCTCTGCTTTGCCAAGTCCTGGTGTGGGAGGTCTGCTTCAATTTATGAATACCATCCATCCGGCCCCTCGCTCAAGGGCTACACATGCACACATACCCACACACCTGAGAATGTGGGCGGGTTTAAAGGTGTAACTGGAGGAATGCTTTTGTAGGTGGAACGTGGAGACATGGGGGTAGCTGTGGCCATGAGTTGGTTGTAAAAACAGCCCCTGATTGATTTAGCAAATGGAGCGCCACACGACGGCTCTTCCACTGCAGACTCACAGCACTTAGCCTGACATGTCCTGACTGGGAATCTCATCTCTCAGAGTAAGAGCTCAAACAGTCAGAGATGTTGTGTGTTTGTGTGTAAATGTGTGTCTCTAGACACACAGAGGATGGTGAATGACTTAAATGAGGCTTCCTCCTGTGAAGGTGTTTGCTCAGAGCCTTGAGTAAATCACTGTGACGTACATATCTACAGATAACTCAGCCTTATCTAAACTTTGCTTATTGAATTGTAGCTGTATACAAAGTCCCATCAGCTGACTGCTGTATGGTCTAGTGTGTGTGTCGTGTGTGTGTGCCAGTCTCAGCCTGGTCCAAAGACAACACTCCAGTTATAGCACCTCTGGAAAGAATGGAGAGAGCCATGTTTGTTAAGAATAAATCAGCAGAGACTGGTAGACATTTAATTACATTCTCTGAGAAGTTTTGTTTATCTTTCATTTTGCTCTTGGACTCCTTCATGACAAATTTCTACAGTCATTCTGTTGCTATTTCCAGCTTCCTTTCCAAAGTTGCCTCATTTTATTTTTCCTTCTGACTTTCATTTTTAAAATGGCGTCCTGCACAAACCCCCTGCTGAGCTTTTTCTTCCTGAAAGCACAGTTTAGTCATTTCTCCCCACACCAAACTGGATATGTTTCTGTGAAACTCTATAGGACAGACCCCCTCACCTCTGACCCTGTGGCCAGCCCTGGGGTTGCTGTGGCAGGGGTTTTAGGAGGTTAAAGGTCACCTCTGTCAGTGCTGAGCAGACTTTGTGTCTGCTGCACACAGCCCAGTAATCCCTCTCCATGTTTCCCACAAAATCTGAACCGGCTCCAGTCCCACAGTAACATTTGGCTGGATTAATGATGCTTACTCAAATGTTACAGACACCACTTTAGGACTTTTGCAGCCTGAAGTAATACTAAGAAAAACAAAAAGTTACTTTAAAGCATTTTGAATTTTTTGTGCATAAATATGCTTACAATAACACTTTGCTTAGGTACTGTAGTTTATAAAAAGGGGGTTATGAATGGGTTATGTTTTGGTGAGAACTCATATTATGGCAGTTGTACATCAGTTGAAGATGTGAGCTGTGGTTTCTATGTCCATAGTTGGCGAGTGTTTGTATATGCTTTGATATGATTTACACTGTATATTAAAATGATGACAGAGGGGCCTGCTGTGTTGTAGCACTGTGACAGCGCTGACTTGTCCTGTGTTTTCCAGAGTTGAGAGACTTTGAGCCTGACGACCAGCAGGAGATCGAGGTGGACGAGGGCAATACCGCTGTGATCGAATGTCATGTCCCCGAAAGCCAGCCGAAAGCTCAGGTCCGCTACAGTGTCAAACAGGAATGGCTGGAGACTTCCAAAGGTAATCATCCTTAAACATAGACCTTATTTATCATTATGTATTTGTATTTGTATTTATTTATTTGAGACAGGGCACAATTTTCACATTAACCTTGACAGGAGAGATGCATTGTACATCAGGTTGTAGCATCAGTGCTAATTTCCACCTGTAGTCCCTGGACAGATTCATTGATTGATTGTATTTAACTGACCTTGACTATCAACTGTTCTGGAGACCTGTAGCATGTTTTGGGTTGATGGGGGAAACCCATCCAGACACGGGGAGAAACATGCAAACTCCACACAGAAAGGCCCTGGGCGACCTGGGGATCAAACCCAGAACCTTCTTGCTATGAGGCATGAGTGCTAGCCACTCAGCCACCGTGCCGTTAGCATGTGCTAACACTACGAGTTTCCACATTCCTCCATATTCCCAAACTGTCTTTTTAATTTACGGAAAGGCTATAATCCTGGTATCTAAGCCATCATAATGCCAGTGATAAGGACACTATCTTGACAGTGTTAAAACATGGGAATGCAGTTGTTTATTTGTGAAACTATTTAGTAGCAAGTTGCCTGGAAGAGAAGAAAAGCCCCAATGGTTTTGTGGCTGGTATGCTGTTGATGCCTGGAGGCTGTAGGTACTGATAACTGCATCTTATCTCAGAGGAAATGAACTACAATGACAGGATTCTGGCTGATCCCACAGCAAACTCTATAGCGCCCTGCAGTGGTTGCTGTGTGAATAGTCTTGATAAATGCAAATGATTTTAAAAGTTTTGTGTCTTGCAGGCAACTACCTGATCATGCCTTCAGGGAACCTCCAAATAGCCAACGCCACGCTGGAGGATGAGGGGCCATACAAATGTGCTGCTTACAACCCCATCACGCAGGAGGTCAAAACATCCACCTCAGCTGACCGCCTGCGCATACGACGTGAGTATCTTTTTAACGTTCAGAAGATGAAAAACATAACATCAAGTAGTACTATTTATTTTTATAAATTATATGATATCAATTGGATTATACATGCTAAAATTGTGTTTAATAGCTATATGCCAAATCAACTACATAAAAAGAAATTAAAACTAAAACCTTGAATATTCTGTTCACCGTCTGACCGTCTTGTGCCATAGGCTCCACATCGGAGGCAGCTCGGATCATTTACCCTCCGGACTCTCGCTCCATCATGGTGACTAAAGGCCAGCGCCTGGTGCTGGAGTGTGTGGCCAGTGGAATTCCCACTCCACAGGTCACATGGGCCAAAGACGGACTGGACCTACACTCACACAACAACACACGCTTCCTGCTCAGTAACCTCCTGATTGATGCTGTCAGCGAGGACGACTCTGGGACCTACATTTGCAGAGCGGACAACGGCATTGGCTCTGCGGGCCTGGCCACAGTGCTCTATGATGTACAAGTGTTTGGTAAAGAGAGATATTATCATTTTGCTTTGTGGATTGTTATTATATGTACTGTGGTACAGTGTAGCTCAGTGTTAAACCACTTTTACATATTTAAAGAAAATAGTTGTGATTGAGGTTAGTGGTTTAATAGTTAGATGAACATAGTGGCTGAATTGCCTCCTGAGAATGGTGTTTATGAATGGGCACTGTTGTGTTAGAAAGTACTTTGATAGACAAAGCTCTTTTTGCAGCAGGACTGGATGTGTCTAAGTTATGGATGACTGTTTTTACAGTGATTTTTAGTGTGTGCGTGGATATTTGTGAAAGTGAGTGGGTGTGTTGTGGGCTTGTCTCTCGTTGCAGCTGGGTCTAATTAAAGCCAGAGCTGCTGGAGCTGTAATGAGCTCTGTCTTTCCTGATTCACAAGCAGCCAACCATCAACTCCCTGCACAGGCCTCGCCTGGCTGCCTCTGCACAGAGACACACCGACACACACATCACACTGTTTAAGTGGATACAAATCATCTGCACGCAACTCTCAAAATGAAATAGTTTTAATAATTCATGAAGGAACATTTACAGATACCAAACATTTAGAGCTTGTGAACATGTCTCTTCTGGTAATATGTTTTTGTATCAAATTAGGAGTTTGAAGTTGTCTTACTGTACCACAGAAAGATTCATTATCTTGTCCTAACAAGATTACACTTTTGTGAGCATTACTACTCATATTACCATGTTTTTGGGATCTCTCAGCTATAAATAATAATTGTTAAAAATTGTGTTTTTCTTTCTGTGTTCTGCCCCACAGAACCCCCTCAGGTGATGGTGGAGTTGCAGCAACAGGAGGTTGTGTTTGGGGAGCTGGTGCGCATCACATGTCAGGCACGTGGGAAACCTGCTCCATCTGTGATGTGGCTCCATAATGCCCAGCCCCTCTCCCTTTCTCCTCGCCATCGCCTGTCTCCTCGAGGACTCCGCATCTCCAACGTGGGACCTCAGGACACAGGCATTTACCAGTGCATGGCAGAGAATGGTGTGGGCAGTGCGCAGGCATCTGCACGTCTTATCACTGTAGCAGCAGGTATGATGAACTGTGACTACACTGGGATAAGATATTTTGGTAAAACTTGATAATAACTTCACTTTAATTAGTCACAATGAAGCATGACACACTTCATTCATATGAATTCGTGTCCCAATATTTTATGAATCCATGTACCAATATTTTATTAATTATTATTAAGGCTTATTACTTAATTAATGCTCTAACTTCTACCCCTAACCCCTTAATTAAGTAGTACTAAGTCATCATTTGTTCCTTATGAATTAAGACTTTATTAAGGCTAATTGAGGTGTAATTATAATAAAGTGGTACCAATATTTTCACTTGAGATTAACTAAGTAATGTTGTGTCTGTACACGGTAGTTTTGTTGTATTGGCCTACATTTGATTGATTGTTAATGTCTCTCATAGGGCCTTCTTCCAGGCCGAAACTGCCCTCCATTTACCGTCCCCTGAGCCCGGATAAGGTCCTGAGGGAGCAGCCGCCCGTGAGAGCAGGCAACAAAGGGGCCACACTGCCCCTGGACTGCTCTGAGCTTCCGGGACAGGTCAGTCCAGCTGAGGCACCCATCATCTTGAGTCAGCCACGCACTGGAAAAGCCGACTATTACGAGCTCACATGGAGGCCCCGACATGAGCGGGGCACCCCTGTACTGGAGTACATGGTCAAATACAGGAAAGTAGGAGTGCCCCTGGGAGAGTGGACATCCAGCAGCATCTCGGGCTCACTCCATAAACTGACTCTGGCCAAACTACAGCCAGACAGTTTGTATGAAGTGGAAATGGCAGCCAAAAACTGTGCTGGTTTAGGACAACCTGCCATGATGACTTTCAGAACTGGAAAAGGTACAATTTAATGTCCTCTTGCTGCTGTGATTGTGATTTTTGTATCATTATTTAAATTGTTATTTTTATGGTTTCAGGCCGTAAAGGCATTGGAAGCCCAATTGATCCACCCAAAACTCCTGCTGTTCCTTCGCCAAGCCTTTCTCGTAAGCAATCTTCAAAACCAGGACTTGTATACAACTACTAGTATACTAACCGCAAAATAACCATACGTAGATATTTTTCTGCTGCATACATTGACTTCTAACACTATGTTTGACTAACATGTAATTTCTCTCATCTTTCTCTATTGTAACTGAAGGATGATCTTTTTGTAAGTGCTCTGTCTTAAAGTGGATTATGGTACAAGTTGTTTCTGTCCATTCTGTCCATTAAGTGACTCGTTTGTTTTGAATCCGCAGCTCCCGAAGCTCCAGACAAGCCCACAGTCTCCACGGCGTCAGAGACTTCGGCCTACGTCACTTGGATCCCGCGTGGCAACCGAGGGTTCCCCATCCAGTCGTTTCGGGTAGAATACAAGAAGGTGAGGAAGGCTGGAGAAGACTGGGTCACTGCGGTGGAAAACATCCCTCCGTCACGACTCTCTGTGGAGATTACTGGTCTGGAGAAAGGTCAGTTACCAAACTTCTCTTTATGTCAGTTCCCAGAACTTTCTCTCCAGAAAGAAGAGTTAGGGTAGAAGGGTTAAGCAGTGTGTAATTACAACACAGATATCCTGCTTATTTACATTCCCATTGTCCATAAATTTATCTACAAAATGAGTGTTGTTGCAGTCATTAGTTTAATTATAGCAATCAATCTTAAGCTATAACTAGACTGCAATCAACAATGCATTTCTTTTGAAAGTGATTGTAAAGCAAACATTGCCAGCCAACAACAATGCAATAAAGTCTTGATGATAATTTTGGAGTAATAATGGTTGTGTGTGTCTGTCTTTAGGGACATCTTACAAATTTCGGGTTGTGGCTGTGAATGTGATTGGCTCCAGCCCACCCAGCGCCCCGTCCAAAGCCTACACAGTGGTAGGTGGAAGAACTCATGAACGCCCTGTTGTGGGACCTTACATCACTTACAATGAAGCCATCAATGAGACCACGATTATCCTTAAATGGACTGTAAGCCACCGACAAAAACAATACAGTAACTTATTGTCTCCCGTATTGCTTTTTATTACAACTTATGATTTATGCCTCTCTGCAGTACACGCCAGTAAACAACACGCCCATTTATGGTTTCTACATTCACTACCGGCCCACTGACAGCGACAATGACAGTGACTATAAGAAGGATGTGGTCGAGGGAGATAGATACTGGCACTCCATCACAGACCTCCAGCCCGAAACCTCATACGATATCAAAATGCAGAGTTTTAATGAGAAGGGGGAGAGCGAATTTGGAAATGTAGTCATTATGGAAACCAAAGGTGAGTGGTCTAATGTTTTTGGATTTTATGTTTTTACTGTGTTTCTGAAGCTCATGAACTAAGACATTTTCTTTTTTTTTTAGCAGCTATTCACAATGCTCCGAGCACTACTCCATTAGAGGTTCCATTTCACCCAGAGAGATATCCAAATGTGCCACGGCCTGGAGACTTACCATATCTTACCTTAGTTTTCATCGTCCTGGGAGCCTTTGTTTTCATCATTGTTGCGTTCATACCTTTTTGCCTTTGGAGGGCGTGGGCCAAACAAAGTAAGCATCTGCCTTCTCACCCATCTCAGATTTATATTGTTTTCTTGCCACGGTAATAACATTTTTTTGTTTTGTTTTAGAGCAAACTGCAGACCCTAGTTTCCCTGCTTTGGCCACTCCTGTGTCCACCTGTCAGTACACCATGGTCCCCCTCCATGGGCTTGCACTGGTGGGACAGTGCCCGATGGATACTCACATGACTGCTCCTCATGTGGTTTACCCAACAAATGAAGAGTACACGTCAAACGGAAAACCTCACCATGCTACACAGTGTCTACCAGGACTGCAGCAGGTACGACTTTGTCAAAATTATTGTGTGACTAACTGCTGGCTAGTATAAGAGTGGTGTAATGACCCCTGTATTATAGGAGGAGATGGAAAGTGAGGCAGAGGGTGATACTCTGTTACCACAGCCTGTTCCTAATGGACATCTGCCTGTTTATCACTGTTCTGCAAGGTACATTTCATATACAGTATGTCTTATCTGTTGCTCTGTTCTGGCACATTTTCTGTAATATTGTTTTCGTTCAACAGCTCGCATCCACAGCACTGCTGCCCTTCATATAACTCAGCCTTTCTGCTCCTTGATCCGTCACATCAGGCTGTAACTTCACTGGAACTAGACGATGACGGGACATTTTGTGAGGACCCTCCTGAATACAGCTTAACTAAAAGTGAGAGATCACTGTTGTAAACAAGTTTTTTGTGTGTTTTTGTGCATGTGTGCGCACCTAATGTGTAAAATAACCTCATCTGATCAGTCTGTTTTACTTTTGATCATTTTCAGGAACTACTTCCTTCCCTTTACTCTCTCTAGAAGATGAAGGGGTCTTCACTAGAGCGTCTTCTGTGGCCACAACACCTCAGTCCCAAGATACAAATATAAAGGATGTGAGCCTCCTCCCAAATGAGGTCTCGCCTCATGAAGGGACAGCCAGTGTAACAGATGCATAAAAGACTGTTCAACAAATAGATGAGAAGATATTTATTTTTGTATTGGAGTTATTTATATATTTATTATTTTGTACATAAATGTTTCATATTCTGTATATATGGATATTTTCATATTGAAAAATACTTTTATTCTTACACTCGACTCTGAATGGACTACATCCTGAGGAGGATTAAGGTCCTTGTGCTATATGTGAAGAAGACCAATCAGATCTGAAATTATCAACATTGTGTTGAGCACTTCTGTTATTTTAAATCGCTTCTTGTCCCATTCCTGTTTTGTTTTTGGAGTAAGTAGCTTTATGTGCATCACACATGGCCAAATTCATTTTAGAATTACAAGGGGCTTTATTGCTGTGCACCCCTAAAAATGTTACCAACTTACAGCCGGCCAGTTTTATAGTGATAAAGGAAGCCATTATGCATTGCTCATCATTAACAAGCTATTAACACATGTATGCAACAGAAATCTAGTAATGATATAAGTGAATATAAATTGTATAGATATTTATTTTCTGTTTCAAGTCACTGAATGGGAGAGATTCTGGAAAATGTTTTTCACTCAGTCAATGATAAGCTCAACATTTCACTCATGCTGGTTACCAAAAGTCTGCCAGGTGGGGGCGCTGTGACTGCTGCATAAGTATCATTATTGACCCTCGCAGAATGGCACAAGTATTAGTCTTGTTTAGACATCTGCAGTGAATATGAAGGAGATCTGGAATCGACACCCCCTTCTGAGTGGAACCCCTCTGATCAAACACGCTGGCACACTATTGCATGTAAATAAAAACATTTGAAAGTGACGCGTCTTTTACTATTTGGGTGATTGGGCATAAGGAGTTTACTTACTGCAAAATAATGTTTAGATGAATATCAGTGACCTCTACTGGAGAAAAAAGACCACAAAACAAATGAAATTATTAATTATAAACTTTAATCAATTTGTATTTACAAATACATACATATTCTAGCAATGTCCATAAGAAACATTTGTATTTACAAAAGAGCTCTGACAAAAAGATGATTCTATACAGTAACATTGGATAAATTAGTAAATTAGACAGTTAACTGTTTTTGTAATCTAGTGCAAAAGAAAAGAATGTTGGTCAAGAAAACATTGTCCAGATGACTACCTTTGAAACCTTTTCTACCAACTTATATAAAAAACTAAACCTGAAGAGTGTGATTAGCTATGCAATAAGGAGATTTTCAAATCTTTAAATTATCACATTTTACAGTTTTGTAAAATTCTTATAATTCAGTTTTAAATTAATAAGTCATTAACTGAGACTCTTGTCAATGAAATCTGCAAGACATAGGGTTACACTGACTGAGTAGCATCCTAAATCCAGAGAGGCCTCACACAGCTGAGCTGCCATCATGGCCCAGGATGTGGCTGATGTTGTGGGCGGGACGATTGGACTGCTTACCAGAATCTGATGAAGTGTTAGGCAGGGACAGCAGGGGAGACATGGGCATGGCTGAGCCATCAGTAGGCATACCTGTAGCAATCTCCGGGAACAAGGAAGTCAGGCTAAAGTTGGAAATGTGAGGAGTGATTCCAGAGGAATTGGCAATTGGAGGCATAGGAGGCATTTCAGAAAGAAGAGGGAAACTGGCCTGAGCAAAGCCTACAGGGCGAGGAGGAGAGAGGATAGAACCAAAGCGGTTGTTCAGAGGAGGTGCACTACTCTTATCAGTGCTGGGGCTGGTAAACATTTGGTTTGGGAAATATTGGAGAGTAACATCACTGGGCAGGCTCGGATGGGCTGCTGGAGAGTAGGGTGGATAGAAAGATGGTAAAGTATTTTGGGCCTCCACTGGTAATAGAGAAGGTGTACGTGAGGCATTGGGCTGACTCACCGGGGGAATGAAAGAGGTGTTTGCATTGATCGGAGGGGGAGGATTCATCCCTCCTTCAGGAATAAAAGGAAAGCCAAAGTTCTGTGGAAGGTGTTGGTCAGGAACCAAATTGTTGTCAGTGGGGACCTGAGATGAGTCTGGCATGAAGCGAACAATAGTGCTGCGGCGTGCCTCTGCCCCAGACTGTGATCGACTGAGGAGCACCCCGCCCCCAGAGGGTAAAGAGAGGGGTCCCTCAGATTCAAATGGGTTGGTGGTTCTTAGGGTACCTGAGCGGGCCCTGTCTCCAGCTCGGAGCTTAGAGGACTGTGTGTCTCTTGTGATGTGGCGAGAGTGCTGGCTCACCACTGCAGAAGGGGCTCTGGAGGGCGCAGAAGACCGGCCCGGCTCAGAGCTGCTATTAGGTGTGGGAGGATGGGGCAGACCTGTCCGAACACCACTGTGTAGGTTACTGCCGACCAGAGAAATGTGGCCCTTGTTGCCCTCTGCCAGGCGCATCCCAGGGGTCTTCTGATTTTGTGGGACACTGGGGCTGGAGGCCTTTGCCTGCAATTCTGCTGAAGTGCTCCTGGGCACACAGTACTCCATGGACACAGGGGGGCAGCACTGAGCCACCTGATTATGGCTGCTCTGCTCAGGAAGGTGAGGAGAGAGCAGACTTTGCATGAAGCTTTGATGACACCCATCCTGCACCGGACCGACTTGCACTTGTGAAGCAGTAGCTCCATTATAAGTACCCCTGTTACGACCATCTGCTGGAGGCCCTGCTCCAATCCTAAAACCACCAGACTGCTGCCCCTGAGGGCCCCTCTGTACAGGTGGCCCGGACTTAACAGTAATCTCATTTCCACGAGACACTTGCACCTCAAAACCCCCTAACTGATGTGGTGCACCCATGGCTTTAAATGACAAACACTCTGATATCCGCGGCCCGTCGACTGGCCCGGGGTGCTCTGTAGGAATGCGGCTCTGTGGGTTGTGGGTCACATTGGCCTTTGTCCTGGAGGAGTCCAAATATCCTCGGAGGTCCGGCTGCTCCTGCGGAGCTCCTCGGACAGGCTGCAGGTGCAGGGACATGCGCTGGTCACTGCTGGAGCTTTTCCCTATGAGTGCCTCTGCAGAGTAGTTAGAGACTCTGTGCCGCTCTTGTCGTGAGGAGGGGGCACAGGCCAAATCAGAGGAGCGGGACACAGGGTTACTTGATGGAGAGATGAGGGTCTGGTCGATGTTTCTAGAACTCATCATCCTTTGCATAGCATTATGGTCTTGACCAGGCTAAAGAGGACAAAAAGAATCAATTCATTTATAAATGTCAATAACTCATTATATGTTTTTTCTTTTTTCCAAAAGGTACTGTAATCTACAAACTGAACCTGGGTTAACAGTGCATATAGAAAATACATGCAAGTTTTTCCTCATTCTCAGTATATACTGTAGACAGTCCATGCCTCTTGTGAAAGCTCAGAACCTCATTGAGCTGAAGAGGCTGCACCATTAATGATTGGCTGCAAGGGCTGGGGTTTAGGTAGTGAGGATTCAACAGAGAGCTCTTTAAACCAACTGGATTTCAGCAATCCAATGTTTTTGCATTAGAATTATTATTTATTTATTCATTTGTTGAGACAGGGACAGCGCACAATTTTACATTAACCTTAACAGGAGACATGCATTGTACCAGGTTGTAGCACCAGTGCTAATTTCCACCTGTAGTCCCTAGGCAGGTTCATTGATTGATTGTATTTTGACCTAAGCTATCAACTGTTCTTCCTGGAGACCTATGTAGCATGTTCTGGGCTGATGGGGGAAACCGGAGTGCCTGGAGGAAACCCATCCAGACACGGGGAGAAACATGCAAACTCTACACAGAAAGACCTGGGCAACCCGGGGATAGAACCCGGAACCTTCTTGCTGTGAGGCATGAGTGCTAGCTACTCAGCCACCATATCAGTAAATATATATATTTGTTTTGTCTACCTCATATAGGAGGGATACAGCCAGGTCATGTTTTTAAATTTTAAAGGAACCATATGTAAGATTTTCATTAACAAAGTATACACTACATGGGAGAAATGTGAATTAATTAAATTCAAAACTGCATAGCTCACCTTGTGGTGGTCTTGTTGGGCCAGGTGGGTGCTGTGGTGGCCTCGAGACCCTGGGGCCTCACAGCTCTTGTCCTGGTGCCTGAAGTGCTGCTGATGAAGCTGCTGCTGCAGGTGCTGTTGGTGTCTAGAGTGAGAGTTCTGCAGCTGCGGTGGGTGCTGCTGGTTTTGGCCCTGTTGCCGAGGGTGCTGCTGTGGATGTTGAGGTGGGTGCTGCTGTTGGGACGACGGGTGCTGCTGTTGGGACGGCGGGTGCTGCTGTTGGGACGGCGGGTGCTGCTGTTGGGACGGCGGGTGCTGCTGTTGGGTCGGCGGGTGCTGCTGTTGGGTCGGCGGGTGCTGTTGAGAAGATGGGTGTTGCTGGGAGGATGGATGCTGTTGAGAAGATGGGTGTTGCTGGGAGGATGGATGCTGTTGAGAAGATGGGTGTTGCTGGGAGGATGGATGCTGTTGAGAAGATGAGTGTTGCTGGGAAGATGAGTGTTGCTGGGAGGATGGGTGTTGCTGGGAGGATGGGTGCTGTTGAGAAGATGGGTGCTGTGACTGTTGATGCTGTGGCGCTTGCTGCTTCTGCTGCATGGCAACTGGTGAAGAGGTCTGACTTCCCCTGACGAGGGTCCTCTTCTTCTGAGCATGCTGCTGCTGCTGCTCTTGTTGCTGTAGTGCCCTCTGATGCAGTGAGTGGTGCTGTGCCGGGTCAGGTTGGGTCAGGTGCTGCTGTAAATGATAAAGGTGTTGTCTTTGTTGCTCTTGCTGCTGCTTTAAGTAATGGTTTCCTCCAAGGTTTGGACCAGTTTGTGGCGTACTATGTTGAAGATGAAGTACCCCTGGTTGGCTCTGCTCAGAGGGGCCGGGAGCAGGACAGTGTGTCTCTGATGGTCTAACTATTGGGCTCATAAAAGTGTTTGTGAATAATGCCCCTCCACTCTCATTATTAATCCTGGTCATAATGGCTGAAGATACTGGAGCCAGTTGACCACCCATTAATTGACTGTGGTCCGGCCCCTTAACATCCATCTGGTTAACTGCATTAACCAATGGCTGACAAGGTTTAGCTCTCTTTCCAGGGTTCATTATGATTTCCTCTGGTGCTTGCCTCTTAGGGATGATTTTAACACGTTCTGCCATGTTTAGTCCAGTCTGAGATCTTGGTAGAGCCGTCTTTAGAGGAGTGTACTCTGTGTGCTGGCCTGAGCAGGGAGAAAGGGCATTATTTGATTGCTGGGAAATGTGCGCTGTGGTGCAAACAGGAGAGGGCTGTCCTGTCAGATTGGGAGACCCTGGGTATGGCTGCTGACTGCTGCTTGTTCGAATCAGATTGTTCACACTGAGACTGGCCACTGTGTTACTCTGTGAGGCGTTTTGTGCTTGTGGGACAATCTGAGAATGAGAATAGGAAACATTTTGAGGATGTCTGCTTCCACTCATAGTGATCTCACTATCTTGTCCTCTGTCAGGAGGAGGCATAGCCGTTTTTAATGTATCCAATGTTTTATATTTTTCCTGCCGTGCAGGTGTCCCACATTCTTTTGCTGACGCAGAGGCTGGTTTAGTGGGCTCCCATGTGCCTGTACCGGAGTTTGATATGTCCGTTTTGCTACCCGTACAAACCCCAGTCCTCCTGTCAGGGCTGTCCTGCTCCAACATTGCCAAAGCCAGCATCTCTGCCTGTTCTGATGTCAGTAGAAATGAGCTGAACGAGCCAGATGCTGCACTCATACTGTGACCCTGTGGCAGCATCGATGCAACTGAAAATCCACGGCCTCCAGTCGCTGAAGACATAGGAGAATCAGTCTGCCTGCTCAAAGACAGAGATGACTCTGATGTTTGATCGTCCAAGTTTGTGTAAATCTGTTGATTATGTGTGAAGTCTTTTTTTGAAGCATTGTCAGAGTTTCCTGTGACAGGATGTAACCTCTCTGTTTTACTGTGTCTCTCCTCTTGGGTGTCACCTTTCCCACCCTGGGCTGGTTTTTCAGGCGACAGGAAAGTGCTCATATTTGTCATTTGTATTGGAGCACTAATATCAGTCACAATTTTTGCCCCTGAACTGGTTACAGGGGTTGCATTTAGAGTATTTGAAAAAGGTGACACCAGGGGTTTGGCTGTGGGCAAGGGGGAGGTTGCTGTAGAGTCTGATCTAGAGCAGGGTGTAGACTGGAGCATAAGTGATCCTTGAGAGTGGCACACTGATGATGATGGAGCAGTCTTCTTTAATGTCGCTGTTATAGTTGATGTACTGTTGGTGGAGTTAATGCGGAGTTGTGTCTCATTGCCACAAGATGAAGATTTTGTTTGTTCAGAAACAGCTGGGTCAGTCGTCTTGTTTTCTATTGTTCTACTTTCTCTTTGTAGCTTAAGTTCAGAAACAGAATTCTTATTAACAGTTAAGGGGTTTCCAGACACTATACCAGATAAACTAACTGTTGCCCTGCCAGAAATGCCTGTAACTGCTGTTGTTACAGCATTAGCACTAGACTTATTTAAGTTGTTTATCTGAGTTGTAGTGGCAGTAGTGGCAGTAGTCTGTAAATTTGATTGACAAGATACAGCTATTCCATCTAGCGAACTAGCTACATTCACTGTATGTGTGTTTTGTGTCACTGTCACATTTACTGAGGGAGTGACAGAATTACTGCAAGTGGTTGCTGTTACTATAGGAAATATACTCTGAATGATTTCTGGTGCTGAATTCTTTATTACATTTGATAAAGTCTGACTTGCACTTGTGACAGGTGTCGTCTTGGCCAAAATAACTGCAGGCTGTTTTGGTTTCTGTTTTTGGCTCTTGACTGGTTTACATTTTTTAAATGTTTTTTTCACAGGTAAAGCTGTTTGGAGTTTTCTTCCTGTGATCTTTGGGGAATTGGCTACTAGTGCTGGCTTAATTGGTTTCAAACATGGAACTTGGACAGGTGAAGTTACACCACTTTCAGTAACAGGTGTAGTAATAGGGGACTGCTGCGGGATAATTGATGGATTTGATGTTGAGAGGTTGTTCTGGCCTGAAATGGCTAAAGGGATGCCTTGAGAAATGCTCTGGTTAAGACTACTTAGAGCACCTAGACTATTGAGGGCCACATTAGTAGTTGGTTCCTCTGAGGTGGTGGGCTGAATGAGCTGCAATGTGGTCTGGGCATTGTTTGAAACCAAGTTATCAGTCGTTTTTACAGGTGCCAGAGCAAATACTTGGCCATTAACTGTGATTGTCTGTGGGGTAGCAACAGTCGATGAGGATATGTTTGGTTGAGGGACAGGTTGGCATTTATTTTGTTGAGGCTGAATGGGGCGGGGAAGAATATGTACCAGTTGCTTCCCCCCAACAGTCTGTGGAGACGTGACAGAAGTTGAACTGGTAGAAGAGATGTTTGTAGACACAGCAGGCACAGGTGGTACAGTAGGCACCACACCAACTGGAGGATTCTGTGGTGCTGTGGCAGGTGGATTGGGGGCTTGGATAATCACTATATGTTGACAAGGTGTTGGATTTGTTATTTCCTCTCTCACGACCGACTGAGTAGGACAAGTGTTGGCCTGCTGTAGGATGACCACACTTGGCTTGTTTGTGCTCTGTGGCACAGTCACACCTGGTGGTGTTGCATTGGCGGTTTTGACTTGCAGCACCTGCATAGTCTGGAGAAGAGGGAGCACAGCGGGTTGGGGCTGGGGACCCAGAGGAGGCTGAGACAGGAGAGCACCTGGAGGAGCAGTGAGCAGTGAGGCCGGCTGAATGACAGCAGGCTGTGACACCACAGCAGAGTGGGCCATCACAGGGGGCTGAGGCACAGCAGCCGATGGACTGACAACTGCACAGGGATTCTGAGGGGCTACAGATTGTCTTTGTGATAGAATGGTTGGTTGTAGCTGTGATTGGCTGGGTGTTTGTTGAGCTGGTGCAGTGGGCTGCATTTGTACTTGAATTGGTTGACACACGGTCACACTCCGAACAGTCTGAGGGGGAGTGGCGTCTTCAAGAGTAGGGAAACTCTGGCACACAGGTTGCACGGTGTTCCCTGCCATCTGCAAAGTGGTCCATGTCGTCTGTGTGCTACCTGCCGCCTGTGCCCTGAGGAGGGGCTGGCTGTGAGGAACAGCGGTGTAAGCTAAAGTCCTGATGGCAGAGTCCGGAGAAACCAAAGATGTAGTGGGTTTGGCTGACGTTATTGTATGGTTAAGTGAGGTCAGACTAGATACTGAGACTACAGCACTTTCACTGGGAAGGGAGGATGCTGAACTGGTCGCTAAAGTCAGTGTCTGGACAGGGGTAGCAGGCTGTGGTTGTTGTGGCAAAGCTGTGGTGACTGCAGGAATCTGAAGAGTAATATAAGACACAGAGGGTGGGAGACTTGGAGCCACGGCTGGGGTCTCAACCACATGTTCTATAACTCTGGGGGTGGCAACAGCTGAACTTGGAAGCAGTGATGGTGTTGGGGATGAGGTATTAACTTGAACCAAAGCTCCATTTACCCTTAACCCAGCAGTGACCTCAGATGGTTGTTGAAGAACTAGTGTTTCAATTGGTTGTGCTCTTGAATCCAAGTCCTTGCCATTGGAATAAACAATTATGCCCTTTTGAATTTGAGAAGTCACATTGGCGATTTTGGTACAACGCTGTTTGCCCTTCCAGTGAATAGTGGGATCTTCCAAAAGATCATGGGCTTTGAGCAGCTGAATGTAGTGGGCGCTCTCCTTTCTCAGCTCCTCCAACTGAAGCCTTAGACGACGTATTTCCCCTGCTAAAAAGTTGAAAAAATATAGAAATGTAATAATTCAAGGAGGCATATGGCCGTTATTACCAGCAGAACAACCTACATCCCTACATACCTTGAGTTTTATCTCCTCCTTCCAAAAGCATTGTATCATTTTGTTTTTTTAACTCAGTGATGTATCGAAAGGCCTGGTCCAAAATCATGATTTTACTCTATAAACAAACCACAAAAAATATTTTAACTAAATATAAATATAAATACAAACAAAAACAAAATAATTCCAAATGTATCTACTGATAATAGCCTACCGCTCAGTGATTTTCCTTACCTGTTTTAGAGCTTGTGAACAGGGCAGGAGATTTCCGATACGGCTGATTCCAGCATTAATTTTCTCTTTTCTGTGTCTTTCAACTTGGGAAAAAAAGGAAATAAAGGGAATGCCAAAAACATTACATTTGCATTCAAACCTTACCTGCATTGTGAGATTCTTTGTTTTTCTTCTTCCTACAACAGATTCCATTGCGATTACAAATTCAACAATACCCCTTATTTATTTTATCAAAAAAGATCATGTGTGAAATAAACCAATGTTATTAAATTACTTAGGTTTTCGCCCAGATGTTTGAGTTTCAGTCATCTCTGGCATCCTGTCCCAACAGCTGCCTCTCGCATCACACACTAATCACCATTTTCACAAAAGTGAGACCAAAAGACAGGATAGGTCCTGGAGATACAACAAAAACAACTTTTTAGTAAATCAACAAATAAGACTTGTCTCACACTTTTCTCAACCTCTACAAGCCAAAGGTAAAACGTTGTTTGTACACAGGCCGGCTAAACAAAGCCTCTACTCGTTAAAATCGGATCGACAGCAGCACAGTCAAGACGCATAGAAATATTTATACATGACTGCACAACCAACAACCCAGCACCATCAGCAATTACATCCTTTAGCGTTACAAATGTCTTTATGATTAGCTTCATGCTAGCTTAGCTTGGCGCTACGAATAAGATATTATGTCAAAGTAACGCTAAATGATCAATCTTTCTGAAACTTGGAGCACTAATGACGCTTTTACCAACCTGTAAGATATACATGTTATTGCCTGTACACAAGAGCGAGGACTTCCAAATTACAGGCACGCTGATAATAAACCATCTCAAGTCAACTCATCTTCCAAACAACCTGCGTACATCTAACATGGTGCGTAAGTGGGCGGGCTCTGGTGCATTTACCCAATAGCAACCCAGAGACAGGAGGCCACGGCCAATCAGCATGAAGTTCTTGACATATGCGCTTCTACTCAGCTTTCTCACGATGTGCGGCAGGACTCATCTGCTGGACATCAGCAGGATAGTCCTATTTTGTAGTTCTAGTTTCTCCACACATCTAAAAACAGCATGACAGTATGACAAATAATAAAGACGGAAATCTGCAATATTTACTGCAAATAGTAATTCCTTTATTTAGACGTTAAAAAGTTTTACAATATAGAGCTTCAGAAAAGATAAAATTCTTCAAAGAAAGGAAAAACATGCTTATACTACAGTGGAGAGGACACATCTCTCCTTGCATGCAGAGGGTCAGAGTTTCCTCTGGGCAGTCCACTACTCCAGAGATCAAATCAAAGTTCTTAACAAAATTCGGCACTGTAGAGCTCTGTTGTGTGTCAAACTCAGTAAAAGTGGCTACATGTTGTGCCAAAGGCAATATGCTTTACCAAAACAGAAAACCCAATATAATGCCCACCGCACAATCAAATCTTAACAAGCCAATACATTGTAATTCAAGAATTAAATATCTGAATTACAAGTCAAAACATTCAGTAAAAATTGTAGTTTTGCTAACAATTCTATTTATTCCCACTATCCCAGGAGAACCTCTGAACCATTGCCACTGCAGAGTTAAAATAACAGAAACCGCTGTTTGGGGAGTTAAAAGATTGAGTTTAAGAATACTATAAACGTTGACTACATTGTTCCACCACCACACAACCGTGTAGCCTCTAACATTTAAGTGCCAAGGCCAGATGTTCACTCATACCTTCGATAACAACACATCACCGACCTGGTTCAAGTCATATTCCATGAATCCCAGGATGCAGGTGACAGAGCTGTGACTGTTCCAACTTGAACCAGAGGAACTACGTCTGAGCAATGGCCGATCAAACACTTTGTTGCTTCAGCAGTCTTCTCCGGGTCAACAATATGGACATATCCCCATCAATGCTATAGCCACATTAAAACAACTCAAACACAACTGTATGATGTGCAAGCACTGTACTTCTCCTCCACTCAGTTAAAAACTGTCTCAGGTCAAAACAATCAATAAGAACTTGAAGAGCTTTGAGTTTAGTTTTTTTTTTCTCCAAATTTCAACTGTATGTAAAAAGAACAAGAGCAAAAATATGCAAATTGCAGGGGACCTTTTGCAAAACAAATGTAGATATTTTGTATAATAAATCTGTGATCTCTTTTTAGCGTCCTTTGAAGAAAGTGTTAATGTGTCAACCCTGGGGAATTTCTCACAGTTCTGTTTCTGTGGAGGCAGGCACATCTGTGCTCTTCAAAAGCTGTGCCTCTACTCTGCCTTCTGAAGCTCTCCTGTGGAAGGTGCACATGGGCTACGCAGGCTCTTCTGCAACACATGGGCATCTGCAGGCTCTATCCTCTTGTAGTAATTTTTCTTTGTTTCAATGATCTCAAAGCCAAATTTCTGGTAAAAGTCAATGGCTGACTCATTGCTGATCTGCACATGACTGTGGATGAAACCGTAAACTGTTAGTGTCAGATTTAACGCACAGTTTCAAAATAAGAAAATACTCACAGATAAATGTTGTCAAAAGTGCCATCCTTCTCACAGATATTTAGCACATGATTCAGCATTTTTGTACCTTTACAGGAACACAAATGGAAGACATAAAGCCAAACATATTAATAATTACTCACTCACAATTCCTCATATACAAGGTTCTTACCAATTCCAAGTCTTCGGTAGGGTGCTAGACATCCAAGTGTCATGATGTACAGCCTCTTCTGATTTTGAGAATGGTCCACTCGACAGCACACAGCTCCCACTGCTATGTCATTAAAGTATGCTACATGGCATAGTAAGTAAAACATACAAGTGATAACAATCTTGTAAATAAATGTTTGACTTAAGTAATAACAGTGCTCATGCTTACCAAGCTTTGCAAGCTCCCCAACTTCCAATACATCTTTGTAAAACTTATCATTGTAGCTGACAGGAAAGATGACCTGATTGAGTCGTTTCAGTTGTTTAATGTTATGGGGTGTTACATCCCCCAGCTCGATCCGGCTACTGGAACAAGAGCAAACCGGTTAAATAGCTGACAACGACTGTGTAACTAATTTTTTAAGACCCAAAGCCTTTCCCCTTTTAAATTTTAATTTTATGATAGCAAAACAGAAATTAAACCGTAGTAGTTTCTGAATTGGTGGTGATTTTAGCTAGGCATGTGCTGTTCACCTTCATAAGGTGGATAAATAAATATAACATTAAGGCTTTAAACAAATATGCCCTGTGTATGAGGACTAAGATTATGATTTATAGGTACAGTAGTGCACATGAAAAACAGCTGTTGGTCACGTGTAATTTTCACGTCACTGCCAACATCCTTACTATCCGAGATTAATAAAGCCCCATAATAAATGTGCGAAAATGCACATTTATCAGACACACCTGTATAAGTTTTTTATAAGCTCACATTATTATATCAGATTTCACCAGAGTTTATGGGTTTCACTCAGGACATGTTTATGTATATTTAATAATTAACAGTACAGATCACGTACTTCTTAAAGCTGAAATAGTCATGGTAAATTTGTAGCAGCGTAACTCAATAGTATTCGAGTTACCATGTTCAGTGCGTTAAATGTTACTGACTCAGCTCCATGGTACAAGTTAGCCAGTTAGCTTAGCTTCAACAAACACGAGTGAAGAACACACAACGTGAGTGACAAGTAAAGCACTTAAGACGATACAGTGTTCATTTTAGAGCCACTCCTTATAACGTGTAAGACAAAATAAAGGTATTCTCAGAGTACCTAGCTAGCTGTCTCCTCTCCACCTCCCCGTATAAAAAAACAGACATGAAAAACTTTGCCTGTTGTAAGCTACTTATTCGTGACTCGAAGGCTTACACTCACCCTTTCATTGTAAACAGGGACACTCCCTTATTTTCTGCAGGACAAGTGTTTGGAGTTGTTTGGAGTAAAAATAAAGAATTTTAACAAAGTTAGGGTTGGGGATGCGTTCCGTTTTACCCTCCACATGTAGCTAGGTACGAGGGCTGCGATTAGCTTGAGCCGCCGCCGCACTCGTCCACCACTCTGTCAACCCTGACCCCGCAAGCGCATGCGCACTGCCGCTGTAGCGCCAGGCGTGAAAAAAATATATATATATATTTTGAACGATAATTAGGCCTGATTACTTTCTCAGCGTTTATAGCTTCTGCGATAAAGTATCTAATTGATTGGTAAGGTCGTATATTGTATATTCTTACTAACTTATATAGGATAACCATTAATCGTCTGATTCAGCCATTTTGGCTCTAACCAAAAGACTTATTAAATAATAAAATAGTCGATCTTTCCTGTGTTCATACATTTGTAAGTTAGCCCACTGTATTGATTTATTTATTTGTGATTTCTTTGTGTATTTAAAATTAAAATTAAGCTGCGTATTACTCGCATGTTTAATTTAACACACTTACTTGAACTGTGTGTAGATCCAAAATGGCGCTGGTTTCTTTGGCCGCATCACAGCTCTACCTCCAGTGAATGAAGTCAGCTGACCACAGTCTGCTGTCACGCATCGCAGCCGCACCATTTCTCTTCGACACCAGGCAGAAAACCACTTCAGCGTAATCAGAAGGTAAGTGTAATTTCTGATTGTGTACATTACAGTTGTAAATGTTTTCTTGGCATTTTCATTGAACGCCTGGGTCTACAGTTTTACAGTTTCGCTTTGCACCAAAACGGAGACGCGAGCTTAACCAGGCCGTGGCATCTGCCTTGCTATCGGTTTCATGAGAGGATCACAAAGATATACACATATTGGGTACATGCCATAACCAGCAAGACACGAAAAAATAGAATAAAATTACCTATTCGTGCAATACTGCGGCTAGGCGTATGTTATTAATGATGGGATGCTGTCGTGCAAAAAACAAACATTGGGCTATTTACATGAGTTACTCAGGCCAGGTATACGGTGCAGAGCTAATTTCTCACATCATACAACTGGGTTTAGACCTATTTTCAGTGCGTGTGTATGAATCTCTGTTTTAAACCTTGATCTATAAATGGTTACATGTAGATTGCCAATTTTTCGCCTAGGTGCCGTAGTGATATTTGTGGTTAACCTCTCACTTACATGTTACATGTAGCAGTAAGAGACGGAAGGCACAGTCCAGGGAAACGCATATTCACAATTTAAACAACTGCCTTCCCTACTTTACACACAAGACTGTTCTGTAAATGTTAAACAAACTATATAGTGGCAGATCATAAAATACACCAGTCTTATACATGTTGGTCCAGTTCTGTTTAACCAAATCTGTTTTATATGGGCTATGATTTGTACTTTCCAGATTTGCAGTATGTCCGTTTTCCACTTCCCCAAAGTCTCATGGACCAGACCAGTCATGTGCCAGGATCATATGATCAAGTGTCATGGCTACCTTCCAGTCTGTTCTGTGGAGAAAAAAAAAATCACTAGATGTATACTGATGATACATGTAGACTACATTAATGAAACTTGAACACGGTGTAATAGAACAAAAAACGTTTCTTAAATCTTCAGTTAGCGTTATTAGTAGTACTTCTGGTATTACTTACTAAATGGTATACTTTGTTACCTACTGCCTATCGTATGCTATTTTCAGTGATTTAGTTTTTTATTTGAATGAAGTTCTTCATTGTTTGTTCAATATGTACTTCGTATTAATGAGAACTATTTCAGTGGCCTCAGGTTTACATGATTGTAGTACCTATATTTGCACATTAGGTGGAGCTCTTTTCATCCAGATGGCTTAGCAACTGAACAGGAAGATCTCTGCATCAGTGGGAAGGACAAAATAAGGGCACTCTCATGTAGTTTATTTTACACAGATTGTTGAAAGAAATGAAAAGTAAATTACAATTTATGATAGCTTTTTACAGAGACATTTGCAAATTGAGTACATTAATTAATTAATTGGTTCCATTTATAGTTGAAAAGGTCTAAAAGTCACACCACAAAAAATGGGAATCCCCTCAAGGGCTTACTGTGATTGAGGGTTAGGCAATGTCCTATTGGTCTACACTGTGCACTTATGTTGTAAATTTCAAGATGTACTCCCCCCCCCATAAGGTTTCTTTAGCTTCTTCAGAAGATAATGTTGAGTTATATTTTTACATCATTCAAAATTCAAAATATAATTTTATTTCTCACTCTTTATATACTATAATACTTTGTTTATTTTGTAGATTAATTATGTACAAGAAACAAAATATCTTATTATGTATTTATTTTTTTCACATAGTTATACTATTTTTGTCAAGATGGACATGTCCAAGCTGCCAAAAATCAGGGATGAGGAACGTGAAAGCCAGTTTGGATACGTCCATGGAGTGTCCGGACCAGGTCTGATTACAATCTTGCCTCTTTTCTTAAGTGAATCTTCTACCACCCAAATCATGATAAAATACTCTTCTGCTGTTTGTGTTTCATTCTCACAGTGGTGACCGCTACAGCCATGGCCGGAGCAGCTATGTATGAGCTGGTTCGTGTGGGGCATAGTGAACTGGTGGGAGAGATCATCAGGCTGGAGGGTGACATGGCCACCATTCAAGTCTATGAGGAGACATGTATCCTTTTGAGTTTTTGTTCCTAGTGCTCAATTTTTGCAGTTGCTGTATAAATGTGAGCTAATGGCACATAAGCTTCATAGAAAAATTTCCCTGAACTTTTGCTCAGCTGGTGTTTCGGTTGGAGACCCTGTTTTGCGGACAGGAAAGCCTCTGTCTGTTGAGCTTGGGCCAGGAATCATGGGTTCTATTTTTGATGGTATCCAGCGACCACTGAAGGATATTAATGATATTACACAAAGCATCTATATCCCCAGAGGTGTCAACATTGGGGCCCTTAATCGAGATACAAAATGGGAATTTTCCCCCAGTAAAAGTTTAAGGGTATGTTTTTCTGCTTCACTAAAAATGTGAAAGGATGATATGAATATCTTTTGACCGATAATTTCTTAGGTTGGCAGTCACATCACCGGAGGAGACATCTATGGTGTTGTTTATGAGAACTCTCTTATCAAGCACAAAATCATGCTTCCACCTAAAAACAGAGGCACTGTAACTTATGTGGCGCCACCAGGAAACTACGATGTCAGCGTAAGTATTCCTCTCCTTTAAATAATGTTAGTTATGAAGTTTCTAGTTGTTAATATTGAATGTCTTTTTTAGGATGTGGTCATGGAGCTAGAGTTTGAAGGTGTAAAGGAAAAGTTTACCATGGTTCAAGTGTGGCCTGTTAGACAAGTGCGTCCGGTCACAGAGAAACTTCCTGCAAATCATCCCCTGTTGACAGGACAGCGGGTGCTCGATGCACTTTTTCCGTGAGTAAAACAATTTTTCTCTAATATAGAGGAGAAGAAAAAAGCAGGCAACATACAATTGTTGCATTCTAATGAGTCTACTTTGAGGTCTGCTTGTGAGATTCGGCCCTTTTGTCGCATTTTGGAACAAGTGGTGCATGGGCCACAGCAAGCTTATCAGGATTTTAGGAGTCTTTGAAAAACTGTCTCTTGTCTGCAGTCTTTGTTCTTTATTGGAAAAGTGAACACAAATCTGAGGGATAATAAGTAGAGTAGGGATGTTTAGATTACTTTACGTCATTTGCAAAACGTGTACAGAGATGCGTTAGTCAAAATGCAGTGTGACTTTCCCAGTTCAATAAAGGTCAGCACATTTCAGTTGGCCTTGTGTCAATGCACCATTAGACATGGCTAGCTAAAAGTATCATTTCAAACCTGTACAGTCCCAAAAATACATTCCCATTTCTTTTCGGATGCGGTTACAGCATATCAATTAATATGTCAAATGCAATGTGTGTCCTGGCAATGTATGTATTGTCTTATGTTTTGTTAGGTGTGTTAAATGTCAGACTAAATATGGTTTCATTCATTCATAGATGTGTACAAGGTGGAACCACAGCTATTCCAGGAGCCTTTGGATGTGGTAAAACTGTCATCTCCCAGTCTTTGTCTAAGTACTCCAACAGCGATGTCATCATTTATGTAGGATGTGGGGAGCGTGGAAATGAGATGTCTGAAGTACTAAGAGACTTCCCTGAGGTAATGGATCAAATACTTTAAGAATGTATGTGCAGTGCTGCTCAAATCATTTATGCAAATATGTCTTTTAAAACATCAGTTGACCATGGAAGTGGACGGGAAGACTGAGAGCATCATGAAGAGAACAGCGTTGGTAGCTAACACCTCTAACATGCCTGTAGCTGCCAGAGAAGCCTCTATCTACACAGGTAATGTGTGAAATGTTGCATTTATTTATTGAATGAACTGATCAGAAATGTTTAATTCACAATTTTGTTTTTTTTATTCATATATATTTATTCACACAGGAATCACCCTTTCTGAGTACTTCAGAGACATGGGTTACAATGTGAGCATGATGGCTGACTCCACCTCCCGTTGGGCTGAGGCTCTCCGTGAGATTTCTGGTCGTTTGGCTGAGATGCCTGCTGGTGAGTTTCAAGTCTCCTGAAGTGTACAAAGCTCTTGGATCCTAAGGATTATAGTCTGCTTCCCAGGCAGTGTTCCATGTTTTATTTCCATGCCCTTTGTGTGATAGTTAATAGTAAATTACAGCCCCAAAAGTTACTTGACACATTTACAATTTACTTTTTATGCACTAACTATAATCTTTTCATTTTCTTGTGTACCCTCAGACAGTGGTTATCCTGCTTATCTGGGAGCTCGATTGGCTTCCTTCTATGAACGAGCTGGAAGGGTGAAATGTCTGGGTAACCCTGAGAGAGAGGGCAGTGTCAGTATTGTAGGAGCGTGAGTATAGCCTTTTTCCACTAGCTGGCACTACTGACATATAGTATGTGTTTGTTTAGTGGGATGCAGTAATATTATATTTTTGTCTTTTCAGTGTGTCTCCCCCTGGTGGTGACTTCTCTGATCCTGTTACTTCAGCAACACTTGGTATTGTTCAGGTAAATTATAATATTCACCACAACTAATATCCAAAGTGTTTATCATTTGACATAAATTTTCTCTTTTAAAGGTATTTTGGGGTTTGGATAAGAAGCTAGCTCAGAGGAAACACTTCCCCTCTGTAAACTGGCTTATTAGCTACAGCAAGTACACTCGAGCATTAGATGAATATTATGACAAACACTTCCCAGAATTTGTGCCTCTTCGCACAAAGGCAAAAGAGATTTTACAGGAAGAAGAGGACTTGGCTGAGATTGTGCAGCTTGTAGGAAAGGTAAGCCCAAGTAACCTTGTAATGTACATGCACGCATACTGTAATGCATTTCTGTTGTAACTCAGTTTGACACATTTACACTTGATCGTTTCACAGGCATCACTGGCAGAAACAGACAAGATAACCCTGGAAGTTGCAAAACTTATCAAAGATGATTTCTTGCAGCAGAATGGTTATACTCCTTATGACAGGTCTACATTGATATTTTATTTAAGTCTTACTTTCCATTTAGAGTTTTTACAGTTATGCTTAGCTGTGGGTGCCTTTTTCAGGTTCTGTCCCTTCTATAAAACAGTGGGCATTCTGTCCAACATGATTGCTTTCTATGACATGGCACGACATGCAGTGGAAACCACAGCTCAGAGTGACAACAAGATCACCTGGGCCATGATCAGAGAACATATGGGTGAAATCCTTTATAGGATCAGCTCCATGAAATTCAAGGTATTTATTTATCCAAATATTAGCATTAATTATAAAATATTTGGTTTGCCTCAACAAGAATAATGTGGTTTAGTAAAAAATGTAGCATTTAATCTTAACTTTAATTCACAAGTTGGCTGCATATTCCATCCATTTTTTCCCCCTGCTTATCCGGGCCCAGGTCACGGGGGCAGCAGTCTAAACAGAGACTCCCAGACTTCCTTCCCCCCCTTCCCCCCCTTCCATCCCTTCCATAGGGGTCCGCTTATCTCTTCTCATGTGGCTCATTAGTTTGGGATAACTTATTATGTGATTATGTGTGTGAACAAAGACTGAACCCTGTTCTTGAGAACTAAATGTAGTGTGCACATCTGTAAAAACTGGTTTATATTTAAGTAATTTAGTCGTAATGTTGCGCTATGGCATTGTTTTGAGCTTTCTTTCTTCCTTCACTCCTCAGGACCCAGTGAAGGATGGTGAACCTAAAATCAAGGCTGAGTATGCCCAGCTACTGGAGGACATGCAGAATGCCTTCCGCACTCTGGAGGAATAGATGAGCACACACATCGCAGATCTCACCTCTGCCTCGCATTCCACGTCGCTGTATTTCCTGATAAACCCCTCGTGCTCCCTGTGCTCTTGTGGTCATCTGTGTGCGTGCAGTTTCATGTGGAGGAAAAGAGAAACGATGTACTGTATTCATATTTCTTTTGCCTCTCGAGGGGCACTCTCTGGATCCTCTACATGGTCTTTGATTGTGAGCGTGTTTGAAAGAGACATCACTCGGTTTTTCTAATTTTCTTGTTTACATGATCTATGTGCTCCTTCTGAAATAGTTTTTTTTTTTTTTTGGTTATTGTTGTGTTGTAATTACATATCCCGTCTGTACAAAAGAGTATTGAATATAAATTTAATGAGATCAACTATTTATTGCCAGCATTATGACATGAAGGCTTTGTTTTTATCGTGTTTCATGTTGTGCTGTGTTGTGTTCTTGCTGTAGGAGTGTGTAAGCCACATCTGTCCAATAGTTTCATCATGTTACTCCAAAAGAATAAAAGAATGGAGATAGAAATATGTTGTTTGGCTTCTTGTTAAGCTGCTGAAAGGGCTGCTCTACTCGTCTGTCTGCATTTTGGTCGGGCCTGTTTTTATTTTTAAATTATTTTTTAAAAATCTTTTCTTTTTTTTTTTTTTTAGCTCTTTGCAGTTATTGTTATGCCAATACAAAAGCTATACAAAAGCTAAAACTAAAACAAAACTTCTTCCCACATAAAGATGCTAGGCTATAAATAAAACTAACACACCCTCAAGAGGAATACTGGTAAGGTCAATTCGGTTACGTTAACTGGTGTATACAGACAAATGAGCGTCACCATTGCGAAGACAACTCCCAGAAGGTATTCTCCACAGGTAGACAGATGCACATGCAAATGACTGACGGGCACTTTTAGGATTATGGCCCAAGGACCGCAACAATCACGCTATAAAGTCTTTTCTGCGTGTGGATAATATTAACTGAGTCGAAACCCTGGGTCCACATCGAGTCAGGTAAGAATTAGACCTTCTCAGATTTTCCCACGTGCATGTTTTCATTAATGCCATACTTGTGCTTATGATTGGTGACTTCTAAAGAGAATAAAGAGTAGCATTTGTTTTATGAAGTTTTGACATGCAGTGTTCAAATGAAATAACCACACGTTCCTTAGGGGGATACCAATAAAGTTTCTATTTGATGGCATTAGGTAAAGCTGTCTCGTCAGACCAGTTCTCCAGGAGTGTCAACTCAACTGTGTCATGATGGCTTGTGTGAAAATGTTTTCCCTTTCGCTGAGACTTCTGACTCTGAAGATTGTCTCAACATAAACATACTTTTTTTTGTGTGTGTTTGTTTAGTAAATCGGAGCAGATGGACCAGATATCGATCCGGTCAGGAGTGGCCAGTAATGGCACCGCGGATGAAACAACCTCCCTTGTGGACGAAAGGTGGAGCGACGATGAAGACGAGGTTAAAAAAAAAAAAAAAAAAGAAGAGAGAGAGTTTTTTTTTTTTTTTTTTAAAAAGCGAGAGTATGTAGGAAAAGTAGGCGCTCAGTGACTCACTGACCGACCACGTGTGTTCTAGAAGGGTTTAAACTTCGGTGCACCATGCCACCAAAAGTTGTTCCTCATTATGACATTAAACAGGTGTATTTTGCGTTCATATTGTAGACACATATTTTACTGTTAAAATACCTTTGAAAAACAAGTTAAGGAACAACATCTCTTGTCTGGAGATATAATGCCCTACTGTTGAATATTCTGGACAAAGCAAAAGCGTCACTATGGAGTTACCTGATGCATTTTAGGCAGCCATCTGTTTACTGTTTCACAATTAATTATAACTAATATTCTAAAATATAGCCTTTATTCACACATACTGTTTTCTGTTATAAGCACCATTACTACTAGTGAATGTTTGTTTTGAGGGATTTCATATTAAAAGTACAGTCAGTACAGTCATAAACATATTATAACTTATCATATTATGTGGATCACCTTTAGAGCTCTGATTCCCAAGGACAGTGTCTTGTGAGCCCACAGACTCCTCTGCCAACTTACAAACAAAGGTTTGAGGAGTTTAAAAAGATTTTCAAGGAGCTACCAGAGACAGAGACACTCGTTGTTGGTAAGCTTACAGTTTTATTTTCACCTATTTATTTTTCATTCCATATTTTATTTTATGTAGTAACTAATGGAGCCTAATGTAGTTTTTATATGAAAGTTACATTGTGTTGACATAGTTTCTGTTATTGCAATAAGGACTTAAAGTTGCCTCAATAACAATACTTTGTGAGACACCTCCTTGTTTGCATTCACACATGATCCTCAGCAGCCCTGTGTATTTCTCCATAGATTACCCCTGTGCTCTCCAGCGGGACATCCTCCTCCAGGGTCGCCTGTATGTCACAGAAACCTACCTTTGTTTCTACAGCAATGTCTTTCGAGGCACAAAGGTAGGCTAGCATCAAATGTTTTGTTTCCTTAATGCAGTTATAACATTGATATAACTGTGTTACTGACCTTGGATTGCTTTGAAATATTATAAACTATATGTATTATTTGATTCGATATCAGTAAATAATTGTAAATATTGTAAAATGCACATAATATTTGCATGCTTTACTTTGCATTTATCAGATTAACGTGCAATATTTATGGAATTTTGTGATTGTTTAAAATGTAAAATTGTGTTTTGTTTTAGATTACACTGATTCTGAAAGACATAATGACAATGACAAGAGAGAAAACAGCTCGACTGATTCCAAATGCAATCCAAATTTGCACAAGCACAGAAAAGGTACCAAACCATTTTTACTGAAACATTAAAAACAGAAAATAATTTCCTCTAATTTACACAAGGCCTTCATCCCCAGCTATTCTTCACGTCCTTCTCAGCCAGGGAAAAAAGCTACTTGGGAGTTTTCAGAATGTGGCAAAATGCATTAATGAACAAGGTATAGTAATTTATTCCCAGATGTCTACTAATGGAACATATTGGTGTACCTTTACATGCTATGACCAAAAGCTACTGAAAATATCTGCCCCTTTGGCCCTCACTTATCTATCTAGTCCAGAGTTCAGAAAACACTGGTGACCAGACACTGCCTTTGCTGCGGTTATCAGTGCATTTCTCCAGTTACATATTGGGAAAAGATTTGCACATCACAACTATGCACTCTTGGTCACTGTGTTGACAAAGATTTTAATTGCATTATATCATGATAGTGAATATTTGATTTAGTTTGAATTTAAAATATCCAAATCTGTATATAAAATAGGTTGTTTGTGTTTAGCATGTTTGATTTTAGTTTTCATAGTTTTCTCTTTAAATGTCTTAATAAACATAAATGCAGAAAAGTATCTCACCAGGGGGGTGCACTGTAAGGCTCGTGCCGCCGGTTATGATCGTAGAGTAGAGAGGTCATTGACTCCCGCAGGTGTGGCTAATCCAACTCATTTGCATGAGCAGCCTACACGCGCGGCACTTGTTGCTGACAGTAACCTGTTCACGTAACTAAAACAAAACAGGAGCATCTTGGCCATAGGCCGACTAAACGACCAGTGAACTGCTCCGAAACAAACCGCGCAAGCTCCCCTCTATCTGGGTAAAAATCAAGGTGGCGCGGCTCTACCCCTGAACTCTTTTATCATCGACTTCCTGAAAGTAAGCAGCCAGTTTACCGAGCGCAGAGGTGAACACTCTTCAGACTGCAGCTGTGTGGAGAGGTGCACTGCCAAGTGAGTAGAATTAAAAACAAAACAAACAAACAAAACAAAACAAAACAGAAGAAACAGGCCTTTTCTAAAAAGTAAACCACTAGTTTTGTGTTTGTTTGTTTGTTTGTTTGTTGTTTTTTGCTGCATGAACGCGTCAAAGTCTAATTCACGGTTTCCGCCATTGTTATGTGTCACCCATGGGTCCTCGTGTATTAATTATAGCCTCATAAACGAGATGTAAATAGGAACTCGTAGAAATCTAATGCAAGTACTGTCTTAAAATGTTAAATTACAAATTATAATGTGCTAACTCTGAAGGTAGACAAAAAGTGCATTATTCTAAATCAAGCAAACACTAGATTACAACTCAGGAGGAATACACGAACCACAGTATAGGAACCATTGGTGGAAGGCCTAATTACTGTTACTGAGACGGTCCTAATGGGGCCGTTTCCAGGACACATAGTTTCTCAAAGCTCTGTAGACATCACATTGTCACCAAAGTTGCCCAGTAAATAAAAGTATTCTAATTTGTAAACTCTAAAATAATACTTTTCCTCAATTATACTGGTAACAGTTACAGTGAATTGTGAATTGAGTAAGAATTTAGTGCGCTCTGTGCCTGCAGACATTGACGAGTTTGGAGTTGTGGCAGATGGTTAAACAGCATTATGGGTATGACCTGGGCCTGAGCCATGAGGAGATGGAGAGTTTACAGTTATCAGCAGAATCAAGCATGCAGACCAGGTTTGTTTAGTATTACATAACACATATTTGCTCTTCTACAGCACGAATGGTATACACATGCTAATCTCCTGTTATGCAGTTTGGCTTCAAGGACTGGTGGAGATGACAGCCTTAGTCGTTTAGAGCGCACTCCTTCCCTTCGGCTCCCTGGGATTGAACAAGGGCCACTAGAGGCATCAACACCACAAGCAGAGGAACTGCCTTCTGCAGGACCCCAAACCTCCAACTCTCTCAATGGGGTAATTGGACAATAATGACACACTGGAGGGTGGGATCTACAGTGCTGCAAATGGACTGTTATCTATCTCCATACAGGATGATGTTCGCAACACCCCATCGCAGAGCCGTAGTCCTGTGCCGTTGCTGGACCGTGGTACCCCTGAACGCATTTCAAAGCGCTCCTCTCTTTCTCTCGACCTCAATGCAAATGAGAATGGCATTTCTGAGGAAAGTGGTTCCGAGAGTACTGAAGAAGGTAGGATACAGGTGGGCAAAGGCACTGTGTGCTTTGCATTGTGAAACGATACACATTCATAAGACCTATAAGAAAAGCCAGTTTTAGATGCTTAAAAACTTGGAGTAAGCATGTAAAGAAATTCAAACCATAAGCAACACTGTTTAATTATTTGAATAGAAACCTGGTTTAACTCTGTTAGTTGACTATACATATCTTAAATTGTTTTTTAAAATTACTGTTTAAACACTGAAAACTTTAGAGTATGTTAAGTCATATTTGAGGAGACTTGACCTCTGCTTGTTGTTGAAGATGGCTGGAGTATTAACTGTACATATTTTTTTGGCTTCCCCAGTGGAGGACAGAGTGGGATTTTCACAGGCGGCTGGCCGCCTTTATCTCAACAAGGTTTTCCACGTCAGTGCCAACAAAATGTTTGAAATGCTCTTCACAGACTCCAGCTTCATCCGCAGGTTTATGGATGTCAGGAAGATAACAAGTTTGTATTTTATCTTTCTTTATACATCTAGTTATGCACAAGTCACAGCAGGCAAATTCTATGGATCTTTGTGTCCCCAGACCCCAGCTTTAACCCCTGGCAAACAGACACATCAGGAAACAAGAAGAGAAGTCTAAACTACACCATAACGATCAGTAACCCACTCATAGGGAAGTTCTCCACTGCCACAGAGAACCAGGTGTGTTTGCATACTCCTGAATAGGAGAATAAACCCAATGTTAATTAAGGATGACCTCTTATTTACTCTTTTTCATCTGTCAGACACTGTACAAAGAGTCCAGAGAGGGCCAGTATTATCTAGTGGACTCTGAAGTTTACACACACGATGTTCCATATCATGATTATTTCTACACACAAAACCGCTACTACATAATCAGCATCTCCAAAAGGAAATGTCGCCTTAGGTAGAGTATTTTCATACCTCTCGACATTAACAGTGACTGTTAATGTGACTTTATATAAGATCTTTATATGTTGTAATTGTAATTTTGCCATAGGGTTTACACTGATGTCAAATATAAAAAACAGCCATGGGGTTTAGTCAAGTCCTTTATTACTAAAAACTCTTGGAGCGGCATTGAAGATTACTTCCGACAGCTTGGTAAGTATTGGACCTTAGAAGAATTCTTTGGAGTCATTTTCTTTCGGCGTGGCCTGTATCTTATTGGATGCTAAATCTGATGGGAGCCTTATAATGGGATATTATACTGTTATGCATAATGATAAATCAGCTGAACTGGTTGCCCCTACTAAACGGTCTTGTAAATAAATTTAAAACTTTAATTGCTTTATTTTGGCTGTAACATATATTGTGTTGCATATTTGACTTTATAGAAGCGGAGTTACTTGAGGAGGAAGCGGAGCTGAACCAGGGGAGTGGAGATGCGGGAAAGGGTGGACTACGCAGGAGGAGGCGAACGTACAGTCGGTCAAACCCAGAGCACATAAAGCCCAGCAACCAGTATGGGCAAAATGCAGAACCACGCAGGGACAGCATCATAGGTACACTACTTTAAAATGGGACTTAATGTTAAATCAAGTTACAAACTACAATCAGAAACACCAAAAGAATTAGATTTCCCTGCACATATTGTTAAGTTCTCTCTGTTACTGGGTCTTTTGTAACTTGAAAACATCCCCAAATTTAGCTGCAAGTTAAGAGGCCAAAATGTTTAAACCCCAATGCAATGCTGTATTTGTATTAAATATTAAGCCTTAGCTGCCACATTATGAAATACATGCATTGTTGCAGGCCCTATAGAAACAATCAGTCCTCAAAGATGGAATGTCAACACAATAATTGCTGCTATGAGCCTGATGTAAGTTGTAGCAACTACAAACAAGTTCATTTTTATATATCTCATCATAATAAATTTTTTATTTTTTTTTTTTTTCAGTTTGCTGATTTTGACATTGCTGAATCTGGGCTTGTTTTTTAAGCTGTGGGCAATGGAGGATATTGCCCACCGAATGTATCTGAGTACGAAGCACAGACTAAGAGAGAGAGCCCAGTCCAGGTGAGATGTTGATGTAATACAATGGCCAGTGGTGAAATAGTCTTAAATACAGAGGCGACCTAATGTTTGTGGATCAGACGGCCCACATGGATAAGCTTGTTCTAATGACTCACGATGCTGAAGTCGTCTCTGTAAAAGTGGTCTATCTAAAGCAGAATGTAAGACTCACTGTAACGCTGCTTTGATAGAAAATATTTTAACGTCTTTATATTTTGACAGCATAGCGCCTGATTATGGTGCTGCACAGGGACCTGGATACCCAAGCAGGGAGCACCTTCACCTATTAAAGACTGTACTTCAGGATTCAATTAACCTACTTGAACAGGCAAGACATCGACTGGTTTAATACAATACAAATACAAAATACAATTTGTCCATAGTGTTGTTGGGGTGTAATTGTACACCCAAATTTAAACATGCTAAAACACACAAATGGAAAGGTACAGTTTTAGATTCACTGATTATTCTTTTGTCTTCACAGCTACGTAAATCCTTGATATTGCTGCAGCAGAGTTTTGCATCAGGTAACCAAACGACAATGGTGTAATGAATGGACCACACCTGGTGACTGAAGCACAGTCTTTGTGAAGGAAAAGCCACTGTGGTGGAGTACCTGTCAGGAGATCTGGTATCCAATGTCATTGCCATGTGACTGTCCCCAGACAATGCCTTCTGTTACCAGGGTGGACATGTCCCAGAGCCTCTGCAGAGCATCAGGTGTTTTTAACTGTGTCAAAGGGTTGTACAGCCAGTGGCATTGGGTTCCTGAAGGCTGCAAATATCAAGCGAGTTTTTTTTTTAAATCTGTGGTACTGAATGGATATTTTACACCTCCTGCTCTGTTTTTGTGTTTTTGACATTGTAAATATATATTTTAAACCTTTTGAATAAGAGATATGCATAAAATGTAGTAAATGTAGTAAATATTATTGCTTTTGTGAATGACAGCAACTTTGCACATTTTTTTTTTTTTAAGTTTAACTACTTTTTTACCACACTACAGATGGGGAGCTACATTTTGTCATTTGACATAAATAAAATATTGTCATCTTTTTAGTATCATGAAAATGTGCTTTTATGTGTTGTTGAACTGCTAAAATGTTCTGGAAATGTCCAATTAAAGGAAAAAAAAAAACAATATAGCCTAATGATTATTACCTCCGTCAAGGAGGTTATGTTTTTGCCGGCGTTTGTCTGTTTGTTTGTCTGTTAGCAACATAACTCAAAAAGTTATGGACCGATTTTGATGAAATTTTCAGGATTTGTTGGAAATGTGAAAAGGAAGAACTGATTTCATTTTGGGGATGATCCGGAAGAAATCCTGGATTCTGGATCGCTTTGAAATTTTAGTTAGTTGTGGTAAATGGGGCCAAAAATTTTGTTTCTCAATATCTCGGTTAATTATTGACCAAACCCCATGAAATTTGACTCAGGGGTGGACAATGGGATCCTCTTTCATATTCCAAATTGAAAGATACGAGACAAATATTTATGGAAAACACAATATGAGGGGGACTGTAGTCCTTGGCGGAGGTCTGCGCTCTCTGAGTGCTTTTCTATTTTTTCCTAATACATTTTGTGAGTTAATATTGACCACGTTAACCATTTTGGCACAATAGGTTTATTATATAAGTGGGTTACTGGCCTGTTGCAGATTTGTCGTGTGTGTGAACTTTCACTGAAGTCAATGGGCTGAACACAGACTGTATTATATGAATGAGCGGACCTCTGGGCGGAGAGAGCGCTTTGACGTCAAGAGGAAATGGTGCTGGGCTCGTACTGTGCGCAGAGGACGTCCCCGGCTGTAAACAGTCCGGTAAAACTGTTTTTCGTTCACTCTCCGTGACTAGTACAGCGGTTAAAGTAATCTGTCGGTGTCGTTAGCAGTCAGCCACAATATACCGGATGCGACAGCTGTCTGAAGAGGAAGAGATTTCCAATGTGAAGCGCCGACAGGTACCCGTGGAGCCTAGTGTTTGGGTAGGTGTTTCCCTTTTTTTCTCAGTTGCATGAACATCGCTAACGTAGGCCTTTGAAAAAGTTGGAGAAGTGAGTTTTATGGATATTTTGTGTGACTACCATAGAAACGGCAGATTACCTTAACTTTACTTGATTAAATTCATTCAACCTCTACAGCGCAACCAAATGGGCTATCGCCATCTAGCACTAAAACAGGGCTAAAATAGGAATTAAACTGAACTCAGTCATAACATAATGAAGTACAAGCAACAGACCTGAAATGCATCTCATTAAAATAAAGTGCAAAATGGCAGCATCACCAGAATTTGTTGCAGATTACATTTCTTTTCACTGATTATAGTACATAGTATAAACTGTTTTCATGTTGTTGTTTTTTCTGTTTTCTTGCATCTGTGCTTCTCAAACAGACCAGAAGGATGCAGTGGTGGCAGTATTCAGTTTGCTGTAAATTATAGGCCTGACAGATGTGTGACAGATGTGTGTAGGAGGTGAAGGGGGGGGGATGAGCAGGATCTTTAGAGCAATGGTACTTGCTGTTTTGACATTACTTTGGAAACATGAATGTGATAGAATTGGTTACTGCTGCATTTATTTATATACATTTTTAATTTGTGTGTGAACCTAATGTGATCAATAGGATGTAAGACTGTCCACTATGACGAAAAGAACCAAGAAAGTGCAGGAGGAAGAGGACACTTTATGCTGCTGTGAATATGTGAACGGACAGGGTGAGCGCAGTCACATGGGAGCCTGCTGCTGTGACTGTGAGGACCTGGATGATGCGTGTGACAGGTGATTACAGGTGATGGAGAGCAGGGGACCATATACTTGCATTGCATCTGCATTGTTTTAAATAAAATAGTCAAAAAATGTTGACCCACAGTTTTATTTGTTAAAGTAAAAAAAAAAAAAAGATAAATTAATCTTGTGCCTATACGTCCTTTCAACTGACGACATTCACCCCTTTATAACTGAATAGTGCTACTATTTTGTCTAGATAAAGAAACATAATATTTCATTTTATAGTTCATTTTGTAGATTGGTCCATTAATAGACATATTAATCATAAACCAGGAATGAATATCTTCATTATGATATGCATCATCCACTTAAATTTTAAACTATGGGCAGCAGAATGTGTGTGTTAGTAAGTTTGTCTGATTTGTTTGCTAGGTTTTTGAAAAGAGAGCCCCAGAAACCCGACTCCTTCTCTAAAGTCGCTGAGGTCTTGACAGACAGGATTCGTGTGCCGTGGCTGTGGGGTGGAGCCAGGAAAGTTGACCTGTCAATCATCCCTCCACTTCTACTTCTCCCTATTCTTTTGCACGTTGCTGCTCTGCACTTCCTGTTGGGGGTGTTAGTGCTCACAGCTCTGCCTGGCCTGGTGCTGTGGTATTACTACATCACTCATCGTAAAAAGGGGCGGACACTCTTCTTCCTCAGTCTGGCTCTTTTCTCTCTGGCATACATGTACTACTTGTTTGTCACTGTGGTGGTCCCCCGTGGAGACATTGGCATGTTTCAACTGGCAATAATAACTCTTGGCGTCATGTCCACTCTGGCAGCACTCATCCGAACTAAAAAAGGTCCCGGGGTGGTATTGCAGAATCGAGAGGCCTGTCATAGCACTGTTACTTATTACGCTCCTCTGCCAGAGAAAGACCCAGCCATGAACGGTGGGAAGCATGAAGTAATGTTGATGGAGCGGGCTGAAGTATCAGAGCCAACAGGAGCAGAGCTAAAGGAAAGTCATCGTAAAAACTGGTGTCCCATGTGCAGAGTGGTACGGCCTCCTCGGGCAGGACACTGCCGGATCTGTGGGGTTTGTGTCCTGCGTCTGGACCACCACTGTGTCTGGTGGGTTACACTATAGCACGATTTATTATGGCTTTTGTTTTATCTAGTTCAAAGCCCCAATTTATGGGGTGTGTTTAATCAAGTAACTATTAAACTACGTTTACCTATTTTGCCATCATCATTTTCATAGTAAAGAAAATGAACGTTCAAAGTTAAAAGTAAAAAGTTTTGATGATTTTTCTGATTTAAAATTATGGTTCTGCTCCACAGGATTAACAGCTGTGTGGGCCAGGCCAATCACCTCAGTTTCCTTCTAACTCTCATCTTGTTCCTACTGACCTCCCTGTATGGGATCTGCCTGGTGCTGCAGAGTGTGTGTCCAAAACAACACATTTTCAAAGCTCTTCTCTACTGCCCAGGGGTCTACAGCGAGTTCAAGTAAGAAAACAAGCACTTTCTGGATCAGGTTAAGGTTGTGGTAACTCTTAAAGTGCACTTGAAGACACATAAGTGCTTTAGCTAAAAAAAAAAAAAAGCCTACATAATGTCTGTATCTTTCTTCAGTGACACCCATGAGGTAAAGGCAAACTGACTTGCAACAAAATTGCCATTTACAAAAAAAGCCATCTTTGCCTGCAAGTAGTCTTGAAGTTTGTTATTGAAAAACTACCATGAAAATAATTTCAGGTAAATGAATTGAGGGCGTATTATCCAGTCTACCTTTAGATGAACTACTCATAAAACCATGAGAAAATATTCCACATTTTCCAGTGTTAAAAAGTATATGCTATACTATCTTATATGATATCTTATAGCTCTAGTGATACATTTGTGATGTGGTGCTGGTGATATGATTGGTAATAGAAAATCAGTAAATACATAAAATCAAATACATGATCAGATTCACCCTGTGTGTGTTTCAGGACTGCACTGTGCTTCACCTGTGCGTGGTACAGCAGCATTGTGACTGGAGGGCTGCTTCACCTGCTCCTGGTGCAGGTGATCAACATCAGCTACAATGTGACAGAACGAGAGGCTCGCATCGCCCTGCGGGAGAAAAGTGCCCAAAGTGCCTTTTGGGGACTCATAGTTGACACACGAATCTACTCCAGAGGATTCTGGCTAAACTGGTCTGAATTTGTATTAATGGGAGATAAAGTGAATCTCACCTCTTTTATTCCAGCAGATGTGGTTTAGTGGACTGAGCCTTGTGCTGCAGTACTGTTTGTGTGCACTGGATGGCAGCATGATCCCTTCTACTCATCACTTTATTGGTCTCTTGCTGAAACCACTCCAGAGATCTGCAAAGACTGTTATCAGCCACCCTTTAATGCAGCTTCGGTTACCACAGCATGGGACTTGCCCCCAAGTTGGCCTGACACATAGCAATAACAAGATATATCGACTGCCTTTTATGAGGCATACATCAGGAACCTCTTTCTTTACTGCTGGTGTGACTCTGTGACCCCTAAAACTCACCGCCTCATCCCACTTTTTATATCGTTGTTGTAGTCTGTATCCTTTAGCTCCAGTGTCTTCCTTGAACTTGTATGTTCCCAGACCTCCTGTACTGTTGTGCCTTAAAGAGGGTGTATTAACGGTTACCTTTTTATTGTTTTGAAACTCACTTTTGTCCAAAATCACTCTATATCACTCTAGTGCTATCACGTTACAATTGGCCTGTGTTCTGCTAATGAAACTACTACAGGTCACATCAAGTTTGTAAAGCTGTAATGGATTGTTTTGTATCATACTTTTGTATATTTATGGAGAAATGTGTTGGAGCATTGGACAAATCTTATAACTAACCGTAGGAGGTTGTATATAGTGCTCGGGAGAGACTGCTGAATTAGTCAAACATACATGGATGACATCTAAAACTACTTCAGGCATGTTTTGATAAGTGAACAAAAACTTGATTTTGCATAATACCCCCTTTAAAGACAAGGGGAATTTATCAACATGAGCACACACTAATGAGACATTTTCACATCTTCAAAAATATTGTTTTTCAAAAAAACTATATTTGGTCTAGAACTGTTTGTTTCTGGACTGGCTTCATGCCCTCTTTCTTCTCTTCACAATTATCCTCTCATCAGTATGCAGTCATCAAAAGTGTCATGGTCATTTATTACAGAGCGCACTAGATTATTTAGCTAATTAGTGTTTTACAGCGTGCCGTTCTATTAATAATTTGGATCGACAGAGATATAAATGGCACCTTTTTAAAACTGACTCATTTCAAGATTTAACTGGTCTGTAAGACCACCACTGAAGGAAAAGGAGGTAAATCAATACAAATTAATGTCTACCAGAGAAATAAGATTCTGCCTTTTAGCGCTTTATGTTATAGCTGTTTTATTGGTCTTCAAAGGAATGATTGCTTTTTTTATAACTCGACACTCACACTCATTTGGTTATGTGTATGTATAAAAGTATTTTAATTTATTGTCATTAAACAAAAGCTGTGTAAGAATATTATTGTTTTCTTGCATTAGTTAATGTTAATGTTGTGTAGAACAGACAGGATCTGTTCTACACACTCATGATTTATGACTGATGGGAGCAGAAATCAGGGAGAATCTCAACTACTTTCCGCACCAACTTTTCCCGGCGTTGCTCCTTCTCCCTCTCTCTCCGCAGCAGGACAGGGAGCTGCCTCCAGGCTAAGAACCATCGCTGTAGCACCCGTCTGGAGAGCAGCCAGATGGAGAGACAGGCAGGAGCAGAACAAGTGAGCAACAAGAAACTAAATTATATGAACCTCTAGGTTAACGAGATCTAATGGGTTTTTTGACACAAGGTGACATGGGGTTTATCGTCAATGACAGCCAACTGGGCATCAGGAATAACCCCGTGGCTGTACATGTGAAAACTGTGTAAAATTCTCAATCAACCATCTGTCCAGAGATGCCAAACCTACTCCAGTATTTTAGACAAATACATGCAATTTTATGATTTGTTACAGATTTGTTAAACATATAAAGTTTTCAAATGAAATAGTTCAGAGTGTACCTGAGTCATTTACATGATTTACATTCACACAGCACTTTCACTGCAGCTGTTTTGACTCTGAATAATGATTGCTACATTTTGCATTTCAAAAACTTGACTTGAGTAAGTATTAACATTTTCAAACAGTATTCTTTAAGAGAGATCCATACACCACTAAAACATTAAGGGAAATTAGAGGTCACTGACCTGCTATTCTGCTTCTCAGCCAGCTCCTGACGGTCCCACTCCAGTAGCCTCTCCTGGATCACCAAATGTTGCAGAGCCTGCAGGACCCGTCTAAGAGTGCGAACACGGTAGAAACACTTGGCTCTCTGCTCCTGAATCAGTTGCCAATCCATTAACTGAAGAGACAAGGATACAATGATACAATCTTATTTATCAAACTGGTTAAAATCCACAGCTACAATGTGGGTCATGGAAAAAAAGCCTCAGCTCCTTAACTGTAATTTCTATGCCATGATCATGATCAGTGACTGAAAACAGGGCTCGAAACATCAAGTCCACGTAACGGAAGCTCTACAATTTCTGGGTGTTTATTTAGTTCAGACTTTAGCTTAGAGCGTCACAGAAGCCTTGAAAGTTTGGCAGAGCCTGGGCTGAAGTGGCCAATATTGAGTTTACACGGCTGTGTGTTGGTGATACTCACTTTCTTCCAACTGCCTAAGCTCCTTCGGAGCAGAAAGTGCTGGTGCAGTTGGTCAGCAGAAGCTTTTTTCTCAGACAGGGACTCTTGTGCCATGCGCTGCCAGCTGAGTGTGCACTGCCTCAGGAGGGACAGATCGTGGTGACTCTGGGCCAGCTGGCACAGAACAAAAGCAAAGTATTGATTCACACTGATAACTGTGTCCATACTTACATGTGCCAAAATGAAGACAATGGGCTGTGTAAAAGGAATAGGATCATTTGAGAGCAGCTCGCATCTTGGAAGGATCTTACAGTGAAACTGGATTATCTGTTTGCAATGAAGTATGTGTGATAATCTGAGACATACACAAGCAAGGAGAGGCAGGTGCCAGGTGTTTGGTGGACTCCTGGACCAATTGTGTATTCATTTCTTTTATGATATATCACTTCCAATAACACCTATTTGATGCACATGTTGTTAAGGGGAAATTATTGTAATTTTACAGTACAATAAAAAACTGAACAGAAGGACTACTGAATTTGTAGGTATCACATCAGCCACTGACAGCAAAAAGAGAAAATATCAAGGTGAGTCATAATAATTGGTTCATATTTAGAAAATGCTATTTGTGTCTCCTGGTGTTGACTAAGACTGTTGCTCCAGGGTGAATGAGAGGAGGTGAACAGACAGGTGTAATCCTCCTCGCATCCCAAATGATGCAAGCAAAACGTTTTCAATAATGACTAGACATTTTTATGCACAAATTAGAAAGCTTAATGCTAACTTTTCATATTAGTGTCATTGAAAATGTCTAACCATTTGGAGATTTGACTCCATTTAAATAGACTCAAATGGAGTGAACTTAATGGTTAATCTCTGTTCCTCCAAGCTCCAAGTACGTATACACTGCATTTCATTTGTCAGAGGGCCAGCAAGCTGCTTTTTCATATTTAAATTCTCAAGACATTTACACACGGCAGTTAAGCATTTCTATTTAGTAATTTAGTTTCAACCTTATGTAGGAATGGAATGCCTGGAGCACTTCAGAACCGTTCAATTTGATTTTAAATGCGCATGGATCATGGACCTCCCGGTTTTGTAAAATGTTATAAATTGGCACTTTGTGAATAGGTTTGAATCAAGTTTGATGACAGTAGAAATTGACAGTTCAGGGCATGTACCTGCATGTTGGCCTGTGTCTGCTGAACCAGACGTTTCCATGGAGCCAGTCCGTTGCGTTTTAAGAGTGTTCGATGGTAGTGTTGGCGGGCCAAAGACATCAGCTCTTGTTGTCTTCTGAGCCGTCTCTGTTTCTCATCTTCCCTCTGCGCAGTGCCATGGTACAGGACACATATGTCACTCACTTTGATTCAAATCTTACAGTGTGTTATAAGCTATTCATTATTTCATTATTATCTATGAAAGACGTGTCACCTCTTTTTCCACTCTCCTCTCCTCTCTCCTCTTTTCCACTGCTCTGCGCCTCTCCTTCTCCTCTTCTCGCTGCCGCTGCTCTTCCGCTGCTTTCATCTCAGCCTGAAAAGTCATGTTTTTTCAGCAGTAGTGACATTATGACACGTCCTACTAATACAAAGGTACTAGAAGTAAATGAATAGTGTATGGACAACTGCACCAACATATCCAAAGAATACAACACTTACCTTGGATGACTCAAACAGCCATAACAACTTTGGTATCATTGTTATTATGGGATGACTTTGAAATATCTCACCAACTTCTCATCTTCTTTCCTTCTCTTGATTTCTTCGACTTGTTTCCTCCGTTCTGCCCGCTGCCGTGCTCGTGTCTCCATAGCTTCAAAAAGAGAAAGGTGAACTCAACACATGGTACTCCTCTGATGTTCCTCTCCAGTGCTCCCAAGTTGACATGCACATCCTAAGTTTGTTTGGCCTTTTATATTCCCAACAGCAAACTCTAGTCAAGGTAAATAAACAGTAGCTGCTACTGTTGCAGAGCTGTGGACTTCAAGGCTATAGACATGAAAGCAATTTTCTTTCACAGTGACACTGGGGCCTGTCATCTCCATGTGTTAGCAACAAGATAAGTCTTCATATGCATTTATACAGCATGCTTTATAATGTTCTCTATTAAACTTTGAGTAGACTGACCAACAATGATTGGATGAGGACAAGTCTGCCGTGTGACAGTTTTCTTCTGAGGGCCACATGGAGTGTCAGGTTGTCCATTACCCTCTGGTGCCCTGAAACACAACAAGAAAAGCTCTGTCATACATTGACTTTCCTGCACTTTCATTCAGACAGGTGTCTACTCAAAGTAACAGTAAATCATGAATTTAAATTGACTGTAGACTTTCTTATTTGCGGAACACTTTCAAACTCTATAAAAAATACATTTATATTTTAATATTTATGACTGATATCAGATTAAATACAGCATTAACTATGGAACTATGGCATTGCCAAATTTATTTTAAGCTAAAAACAAGTCTCATCAAATATTACCTTTCTTTGTATATAAAACTGTGTGACTTTAGAAAGTTATTAACAAATAATTGTTTTTTCCAAAGTTGTCAAGACCAGACATTTACGAGACAAAAAAAACTAAACAAAAAACAACAAATTAATATTTGCTCATAAGAATGTCAGCTCTTGCTTTTCAAGATAGATGTTTATATTCAGAAGTAATGTTGAAAATTCAAGCAGTGTATCATGCTGAAAGTGAGGGCTGTCTAAACCATAACTACAGTTCAATTATTCAATTATAACTGTATCACAACTGTACATCTCAGAGATTACATTTCTACATTTACAGGGGAGTCACCTTTGCCCTTTAGGCTCATACTTGTGGATCCATGGTATGGCTTTTGCCAGCTGAAGGCGCTGTGCTGACTTCTGCTCCTCAAGCTCTAAACCCATCACAAGCTGCTCCTTCTGCAGTAGTACAATTTGCTCTTGTTGTTCCTTGAGCAGCTTCCTCTGCTGATAGATGATCTGTAGTTGTGTGGTATGTCGGTGCTCAAAGCGGGCTCCTGGTGCAGTCAGGTTTTTCAGACAGGATGAACCCCTGTCTTTGTGCAGTGCCCTCTGGATCTCAGCTCCAGTAGGGGCCACATGCTGACGGCTTATCTGCCATGGCTCAGTGGGCTGGGTCATGGGAGCCATGTTGGCCCCTGGGTTTTCCTCCTGATGTACCAGAGATGTATCAGAAGCTACAGAAGCTGCACTTTGATGAGGTCTCTGCAGCAAAATAGAAAGCCCCATAAAATTTCACATTGGTTATTATTATTCTTTTATTTGTACAGGTTAGCCTCTCCAGACTTAATGTCTCATTTTCAATAGGAAGCTGTTTGTTGTAATTCTTTTAATAGTAATGTTTTTTGCTAAAAGATCATAGATCACTTTGTTATAAAGCAATACTAATTTTCATATTTACAAGAAATACAGCATAGACCTTGGCCAAAATTGCCCCATTATTTTTGGAGTAGCTAAAGGACATGTTAGTCTTCATGGTAATTTAAAGCATGCAACTGTATGTACAAATTATGCCCTATTAGTGTCACCTACAGATTGATTGCATGCAAGAAAGCAGGTGTTCAAGGATTCACCGTAATATTATCATATTCCACTTACATTTGATTGATTATGGCAGACCTTGAGATGGTCTTCTTGGTCTTTTCTGGAGACTGTTTGATGCTTTGACCCTGAAGTAATATTTCTTTTATCTGAAGACACCGAGCCAAGCTAATGGCTAATGTACGTAAAACAATAAATCAAAGCTTCTATAGCAGCCAGTACTAAAATGTTCTAAAACACAAAACCATGTTTTTATGTAGGGTAATCAGTTATCTATAGCTGTCTCACTGCTTTAATGTATTGCTAGATACTATGTTGCATTTAAGCACAGACCGGACATATCAGATGGTCAAAGTAAGGGAATACAACCTTGACCTCAACTTCAGGTGAACTTTGCAATTCAATAGTTGTTTCCTTACAAATTAATTATACATGTCACCACTGGTGCAGCCATTGTCTACCTCTAGTGCTCCCTCTGGTCACTCTAGCATGCTTATTTGAATGGCTTTGTAGGTGGTGAATGGGAGTGCAAACCTTGGCATTGCTTTAATATTATTCTACCGTACCAGCCTTACGGACCACATCTGAACTAAAGCACATTTACTGATATGCAGTACATGAGTTGTTTCTTCCCTTAAAAGACACAGTGTTTTAACACAATAGTTAAAACTTTTTTTTTCCTTTTTAGAGAAAAGCTCTTGAAGGTGGTTTGAACCTAAAATGTTTGAAATACTTTGTAATGGACTATCTCAATTTAAGTGCATCAGTTGAACACATTGACTGTTGAGCCACGGACTTATAGGTGGGTCCACTTTAAAACTCTTAATTCAGCTCGATACAAGTTTCATTCTATAGTCCCTACTCTCCACTGTCTCATGGCTCAAATATCATTTTCTCACCTCAGTTACTAAACATTTCAACAATGTCTCCCATTGACAGAGCACTGAAACATCTCAACTTTGATATTCAAGATATTACAGAATTTCTACTTATTCCCTTTCAAAAGATACAGTATAGTGTATTGTTTTAAATTGTTAATAGCCATGACAGTGGTCTAATTTGTTAGTTCTAATTCTGAAACCCATGAGGCATTATATACTATATTCTTCTTCCTGAGTTGTTGATAATGATTGTTGAAATGTCTGTGTCTCACCTTGTATTCGGTTTGCATGGCCTTTGCTGGAGCCATTACTGCTTGACAGGTTGGGTTTTGTGTAGCTCTGAGTTTGCCACTTGTCACTGCACTGATTAAGGCAGCCATCTTGTGGCGAGTTTCCTGCTGCTGACTCAAGAGCTTTCGTTGTTCCCTCTCCATCTGAGCCCATACCTGCCACTCATTCAGAAAACGTCTTAACAACCGTCTGTTATCAGTCTGCACAGCCAAAATGTAGAGTCTAAATGGACATGTGATAATTATATTAGATCATTACATCTTCCAGTGCAATAAGTTCACAGTTGTATTATTTAATATGCTGCTTATTATCTTATTCTTGCCTATTCTCTTCTCGCAATTCCTCCTCAGTTCTCTGCACTTCTTGTTGCTGTTGTTTTAGTAACACTTGTGCCCGCCAAGCCCGCCATACTCTCAGCTTCCTCCTCCACTCACATACAGTCTTGGCCTTGTCCATGTGAATCCTTTGGTTTAGCACCACTGAAAACCAAGCAGTGAAATGCCTCTGCAGACACTAAAATATACATAAGAACACAAAATAGAGTCTTATATTTATATGAAATACAATATAAAAACATTGACATGTACTATAGATATTCTTACCTTAAAGTTGTTCATATAGAGCAGTGTCAGAGCTTGTTGTTCTTTATACAGTTGTTGTTGATCCATCTTCTGACATTCCATAAGAATCAGAGAGGCACATTGTGGACTCTTGACAACTGCCCTCTCTGCACAGTCTCTTTTCCTGTGGAATAATGATTGATTACAACAAAAGCCTTGTGATTTCAAATTGTGATTTTCTTTGGCATTTAAAGTTAACCCCAGAGGTCACACTTTATATAACACATTTTATTTATGTCTAATATTTAATCTCAGAAAAAAACAGTCTGTTAGTGCTGTGTTTGGCAAACAGAAATGACTTAAGTTATGTAATTGTTTAAAAATAATAGTAAAGTGCCTCATGCACTAATGTGCACATGGTACAAATTGCAGCTGTGGCAGAGGCTGCAGTCAGAACACAGATGCTGACACACTGTTATACAACAACAGCTTTATAATGCTAGCTGTGGGCTTATGCTTCCCTCATGGGGACATGCTGACAATAGAAGGTACTGGGTCAAGGTGGATAAACTAAGATCACACACAGTGCAATCAGGCTGCTGGAGATGGGTAATTTCAGATATAGAGGAGTGTTCATTTGAGGCCTGTGTTCACAGTAGACACCATACCTCTGTCGAGCCAGTTGCTGAATGCACCTCTGCTCTTCCATCTGCCGTCGTAGCCTGACCATCTCCTGTTGAAGCATGTCCTCCTGTCTGCGAGCCTGCTGCCGCCTCCTCAACTCCGCCTTTCTCTCTCTCCTCCAGGTCTCTTCTCTGGCCTCCTGAAGAGTCTCTCGTGCTCTCTGCTGCCTCTGCCTCTCAGCATCTCGTCGGGCCTTGTTCTCATGCACCTCCAGAAGCAATCACCAGCATTTAATTAGTCATCCATTCAGAGGTGAATAAAACCATTTTTTGGGAATTCAATGTTTGAACTTGATGCTGGTACCTGTTTGTGCCTTTCTTCCATTGTAATGGCTGAGTTTCTGAACTTCTTTCTTGTCTGTCCAACATCCATTGCTAACTGGTCCATAATTACAGAGTCTAGCACCTCTTGTTCCATTAGTTCTTGCAGACAATTGTTTATGGTGCTGCTCTCCTCTTCTTTAATCAAACAGCTGTAAAAATCTTTTCAATCAAGAAACAAACAGATATGTTTATATAGGTAAGCAATTTATGACATATGTCCTTAGTCTGCTTTTTTTTCTTTTTTTTTAACAAACTAAAAAACTGAACATGAATTAAGTGACAAGTTAGGTGTGACATAGCAGTTTGGATAGCCCTAGTGGGATACCATCAAAGTTGGTGTAGTTGGGAGCTGTTGGGGTACAGATATCCAAAGCAATGGGACTGTGTTTCTCAGCAGGAAAGATCAGGTCATCTTCTTCATCCATCTCCAGCTCCAGACGTAATTTACCGTGCAGCCAATCCCCTAAAAGTGCCTGAGCTGGGAGCAAAACAAGCACAGTATCAGTGTTGAGCCTGCTGCAGCAAAGCTCCGGCTTTATTATGGGGATAACACTTCTGGAGACATCATTGACCTACCTTCACTGTAAGCATCATCATGATCCTTTAACTGGGCAGAGGTTTGCAGAGGCATAGCCAGGTCAGATGAGCCTATATGGGGTTTCTTGTGGGAGAAAACTTCAGACACAGCAAATTTGGAAGCCGTCTCTACCCGCTAAAGCAAAAGTATTATCTGTAATGAAGCTATTCTAGGGATGCACCCATACTGATACTGGTATCAGATATTGATGCAAGAAGTTTTGCTGGATCAGATATCAATCCCATCATATCTATGTAATAAGACTATTTGCTAGCTGATGCAGACCGAGGGTTTCTCATAATGTTTAAAGTTTTATTCACACAAAGCTGTTCAGTAGCTATTTGCAGGATAAATAATATTTGGATCAAGCAAATTGCGTTTTTTGGGTAAAATACAATTCCCTACAATGGTATAGGATAATATCTGAGCAGCGACATCAGGTCTCAGAGCTTAAAAAAAAAAAGAAGAAACTGGATCAGACTATTACTTTTAATAGATTTTCAAAACAAGAATATACTTTCACCACTGATCAGTGTCACTATTCTTCAAAAGCTTATTATAGCTAATACATAGTTCATCCACTCAAATATGGGGCAAAAGTCAATCTTAAAAGCACGTGTAAGTTACATGCACCATGTCATCGTGTTTTTTGTTTTTTTGTTTTTTTTATCTCACAAGTTAGCGTTAATTAATTAGTGACCGAATGAGACATTAAATCATTAAATGCTCTGCTGGGTGCATTGAATATTTAAATTAGTAAATTACAATTTAAAGATAGCGTATATAAGCCCAGAGCACATTTATCTCACCTTTTCAACAGATGTTTTATTTCCAGGCTTCTTCCATCGGAACAAATGCGAACTGTATTCGTCGTATGCCATATTTGTGTTTCATGTTATCAAAATGACAACGATACGATGGCTAACAAGAATTTTACTGTCTTTTACCATGATAACGTTAGTTAGCAAAGTCAACGCGATGCCAATCAGTATTAATATTAATATTAATACTAAAATAAAATGCAATCGCTTTAGATCACAAAAGTCTTTGGAAAATGTGGCAAACGTAACGATTACTTCTGAAACTAGCTAGCTAACTTGTTACTGGCTTGTTGTGTAGTTCGGTTCTGTTTGAGTACTCTGGTAACCATAGCAACAACTACATATGCACAATTTTCACACACACTATTTATAGACATTTTTTTTCTTCTGTACTGTACCTTCCTTACAAACAAACTTCAAATTTGTTCAAGCAAAAAAAAAAAAACTTAACAAATTAAAGCCAAAGTTCAGGTGCGTCATTTTGAATGCGTCCTTCCTTGTGACGACATATCTCGTGGACTTGTAGTTTTTCCAGCGGCTATCATGCAAGCTCTGTGAAAAAAGGTAAAAATAAACGTTTTGGATACTTGTAAACGCGTATAAATGTCTAGTCAAAGTGTATGAGATGAAAGATTATGCACGTTTCGTTTTGTTAAATTCTCTTATACGTGGATAAAAGGCGTTACAGTTACACTTTAACAACACGTGACAGCTATGATATTTTTCCTATTTTATCATTCATGATAAATCAACCCCCAATTATGAATGAACATAATGAATTAACGCCACTATTTTGGTATCTTTTCTTTTCCAGATTGACAAATGGGTGCAAAAAGGATGCAGTTCGAGCTGAGTCGTGTAATCCAGGGTAACTGCAGGCTAGGAGTTTTGAAGGGAGTGGGCAACACGACGGAACAGTACTCTCTGGATACTCCGGGCTGTCTATTGTACACACACCTCGGTACAGTCCCGCATCTTACCGAGGACACGCTGCACACGTTGAAGCACCTCCCATGTGTTTCCCAGGTCACTTTGTCGGCAATGTAAGTTAGTAGCATATTTGATAAATTACACAACCAAAATCTCTTATGCACGATCCATTCTTTATCTGTATCAAGAGCAGAACACCAAGAGGTTTTAGAAGACTTTAAGGATGGATTCCAGAAGTTTTCAGGTTTGTAAAGCACAATAAAAAGACACATGTTGACATTTTATTTCCACTTGTACTGCTGCAATTATAACATATGGGGAGTCAGTAAAAACATTTGACATTGTATATGTTTTAGGCACTGTACAAAACTAAATAAATGTATACTTCAGCGGTCAATGTGGAAGAGATTAAAGAATGCCATTGGCCATTTTTATTCCTTATTCCTTAAACATTAGCCTTTGAAAATGAGTAGGGCTGGGACATATTAAAAAAAACACCACAAGATTACTCATCATATTGAAGAACCATCTTAAATATTAATTCATTCATTATAATTGATCAAATTGTCACCAACATATCACATTTGCACCATTAATTAAATGTTGTTTTCACACTGTTTCATGAAAAATATATTTAATCAGTTATATATTTTAAAAACAATTAACAGCAACACAAGAAACCATAGCGTAACTAGTAGGGATGGGACAAGATCTTGTCCCACCAGATCTTGGGAGACGAAATTGAGTGTGGAGGAAAGATCATGAAAGAACTTGATCTTGTGAGATTTGTTTACTTTTGGTACAAACAAAAAAGGGCTGTGTGTTGGTGAGTTACATCTTATACTTCCAAAAAGCAGTACTAGAATTGCAACAAAAATATTAAATAAAATAAATAAAACATTTTGATGCCAAAATTGGAAACTGAATTGTATAATTTATGTATTAGGAATTGTCTTGTCTCATTTTCTGGATCTCATCTCAACTTGTGCCTCGCCCCATCCCTTGTAACCACCATAGTAACTTCATATGGAAACAGCCCAATGTAATTTACAGCACTAAGTCAAAGATATGTCACGCAATAATATATCAGTATTAGTGTAGAACTGTTAAACATTAGTTGTGCAAAAATAATTCACAATAGTTTTTAATTTGTGTGTTCTCCCCATGTCTTTGGTTTCACTGACCATAAAAAAAAAATCTGGGGTGATGGGTTTGCCTGTAGAAGAGATTCTGGGTAAAAAAAAAAAAAAAGAGTATGATATGTTCTGAATGCACTGTAAAGTTATGTAGTAAACTAAGTAATAGTTATGTACTATTATGTATGTATACTATAATGTAGTTATGTATTATTTTGTCAATAATGTTAAAGGTGGTTAAGATCAATCAACTGCACATATGACATTCTGGTAACTTTACATGAGAATCAGAAAATTAATTGAACTGACTGAATCTGATTCTTTTTTTTTCCACAGACCAAATTTATTGTTGCTGATTTTGCATACCCAATTACACCAAATTGGGTTGACTGGCTTATATACACACATACAGTACACACATACAGTACACACATACAGTACACACATACAGTACACACATACATGCATGCATGCATACATACATGCATACATACAGTACATGCATACATACAGTACATGCATACATACATGTTAATTTCATCAGGCTAAAATGTAAAATACTGGAACAAATTATGACACACATATTAAACTCTTCAATAATAAAATGCTGATTGACTCCTCCATCTTGCTTAGACCTGGAGAAGTACTTATGTAATACAATGCCCTTCAACAGTAGCTTCATTCAGCAGTCACTCTAGTGCCATATTTTACCCGGGCCTTAAGTGTACTGATTTGAAATGAGAAATGTAATCACTGTAGCGTTGCTTGTTCTAAACTGTGAGGGGATTACTCAAGTGCTTCCACCAAGTCCCAGAGTGATGTGATGGGATATGCAGTGTTTAAATAATTGCAAGTAATAACTGCATTTCTGTCATAGGGGCTTTTGTTCTTTCACCTTTTCATTTAGTGCTGCAGCTGTGTTTACTGAAAAAGCTACACCTCATCTGTCTCTCTTGACTTGTAGTAGCCACATTAATATTAAGTAAAAAAAAAAAGTCTCCATCCAACGTTGCTTTTGCTGAATTAAGTCCCTCAGTCTTGTCTTGTGTCTGATTGCTAAAATGCATTTGGCAGGTCTTCGTGATACCGTTTTGTACTGCTCACTTCATGACCCAGCAGCCTCATGCCCAACAGGGTATACAACCAACAAGGTAATAATTTTTAGCAAAAATATTACAGCATATAGCTTCCACCCAACTGCAATGTGCTGTTTCTTTTGACTTTGTATAGACTGTGTCGGTCTGGGGCAGTGGTGGACGAATAGAGCTCACGGTGGCTAAATTTATGGCATTGGTAAAAACCGTGCAGCCTGACTGGTACCAGAGCATGGCAGATGGCGAGACCTGGCAAAGTAACACCTCCAGAAAAAGGGTTAGGAAATCTGTGGATCGAACCCTTGCCCATTTGGATGAGTGTCTTCTGGTGCACCAAACGACACCGGTAAACATGGGAACATTGGGCACTTAACACGCACAGCTGTTTTCTTACACAAAGACTTTATCGACTATTCTTTTATGAATCAACGATGCATGGCATGGAACACCAGACAGGAATTGATGTCCGGTAATTTTGTTGTTACAGAGGCGTTGTGCAGCTGGGCTATGGCTCAAAACTGAGTCAAATTAAGGAGAATCATTATCAATAGGTGAGCTCGGGGCCAACCACATGCTCTACTAATGCACAGTCTGATAAGCTTGTCTTGGACTTGTGCAGACCCATATTATAGAAACAGCTGGCCGGATGCAAGGCATTCGTCCATATGCCATGCCAACATTTTGTATACTTTAGTGTAATCATTCACATTTTATAGTCCATCTGGCTGTGCTTGCAACTGCATTTATTTGTTCTATAGTGGAACCTATCATCTGGCAGTTCATCAAGAGGAACTGATGGTTGATCGCTGAAATGATTTTGACAAAAGCTCTAAAAGTACATAAATACTATTACATATGAGCATGTTGCCTGTAATTCCTTACACAATCCATATGACACGGGGCTTGACTGCTGCAGCCCTCACTTTGGTGTCTCCTGACTGAGCATGTTGAGAGAAAGAACAACCCTTTATTTCCTTTTGTGGCACTTTTATCTGTACACCAAAATCTTAGTTTTAGGAGAACTCATTTGATTAGTGGTTATAGACTTGTCTTGACTAAAAGGTAGACCTTTTTGTGTAGCTTTTATTCCTGTGCCTAATTTCTGAATGTTTGTGACTGACAGGAGTTGGAGGGAATGGAGGTGTTTGGAGTGGTAGAGGGAGGAGACATCCTGGAAGAGAGAGTGCGTTCCGCCAAAGAGACGGCTAAGAGGCCAGTAGCAGGCTTTTGTTTGGATGGTCTGCAGACAGGCTTCCTGGACCGGGCTCTGAGGATGGAGCTCATCTCTGCTGTGAACAGAGAACTGCCTCAGGACAAGCCCAGGTCAGGTCCATACACACAACTAACTGAAAAAATGTCTTAAAAAACAAACAAAAAAAACAACGCCTGACACAGAAGAAAATTACATGTTTATGACTTTGTAATATTCATGATTGTGACCAGGGGAGATGTCACACCTTGTATTTGCCCAGCGGGTGAAAACCTGCTGGAGGATCTCAAATATTTATAAGCAATGATTACATGGGCAAGTACTTAATTAATAATGTTGCATAATAGACTTTATATTATAGATAGAAGCAAAGTTTGGTCGTGAATACGAATTAGATTTGTCATTAGCTAAACAGCTAAATTTATTTCATTACAAGTTACCATTATGTCTTTTTAAATAACTTCTTACCATGTTCATCACCAACATTTGTCTGTCATAACTACAATTGGTACACAAGGTGTTACTTAGCCTAATGACTGTCTCTAATATCTCTACATGAAGAGTTCATTTGCAACTGCTACAGATGTCAGCAAATAAGTAATGCTGAGTGCAACTCAATTGAAAGGGATGAAACATTTTTTAATGCTCCAAAATAGATTTTACTTTTGATTTTCATTATTATTATTTTGCAAATGCACATATTTAACAATTTTGTGTTTGTTAATGAATGCTTACAATTAATCCCCAAACTATTTAAGGCAAACCTGCTTAATTTGTATTTATTTTAGCAGTTGGGAGCATTTAGTGTTTAATGTGACTGGCACCATCTACAAACAGACGCCATTGTGGTTCAGAGACTTGACAAGGCCCAGTTTGTGGGTTCTGCTCAATCAATTAATTATCGCACCTGATTGATTACAAGTGAATATGTGTCTGTTTCTCTGCGGCCCTCTCCTGTATGTCCACCATCATTAGCACAGTTTGACTTTAAAGGACAGCCCCATGTCAGTGATTCTTTTGTCTTTACCTTTGTCAGGGTTTTGGATTCTTAAAATGTTGTTGCATTTTTTTATATTTGAAAGTGAACCACACAAAATAAAAACACACTTTTATCAGTTCACAGTGCCATCTTTACATCTTTGGTAATAAATCATAAAAAGACTGTGTCATCTGCTGACAGCCAGATTAGAATAAGAAACATAAGCACCCTGTGGTACCTTTGAGTAGCTTGTCCTTCCAACTGTGTCATAACTTTCATAATTTGCACTGGAGATTCTCTCTGGACTCTCAAGTACAGGTTTCCCAGCGATGTAGAAGACTTCTCTATGGTGGGCTGAGCAGTGCCTGAGCTTCACTAAGTTGACTTGTGAAAGGACTCATCTTTGGTGCCCTGAGATGCCATCCCTGCTGGTTGTTGTGGCTGTTAGGAGGTGCAGCTCCTACAAGAGAGAGTGGTGCAGTCATTATCCAGTACTAAATTGGGCTTGACCTTGACGCCCGCAGGCACAGAGTCAGAGCAAGCCCGTTAACAGAGCCCTGGAAGAGCAATACCCCACAAAAGGGCAAAAGAATGTTTGTTTTCCACATGCGCTTGTTCATGCTACGCTAATATTGATTGTTTGTTCTCAGGGGCTTTGTAATTGCTATAGCTTCACACACATATGTTCTGCTGATTTAATGAAAGCACAGCGCTTTGCTGTGTCATTTGCCTCCATGTAACCGTTCATGCGTGTTTTCTCAGGCTGCTGCAGGGTGTGGGCTGTCCTGATGAGGTGCTGGCTTGTGTGGAGGCTGGAGTGGACCTGTTTGAGGGTTTCTTCCCCTTTCAGGTGACTGAGCGCAGCTGTGCCCTTTCCTTCAACTACAAAATCTGCCTGGACCCAGAGCACACAGGTACAGCATTTCCTGTAGGTGTGATCAATGGCTTTAATTCTTTTACTTCGGCTTCTTTTAATAAGGAAAAGGCATCAGTCTGGTAGAGGACATTAAAACTAATACATAATTATATATATATATATATATATATATATATATATATATATATATATATATATATATATATTTATATAAATTCATCGATTGGTTTTAGAAATGTCTCATATGAAAGCTAAAACCCTCCCAAATTATGCTCTATATACTAAAATAAATTTGCTTCACTGAAGAAAGATTGATAATTTAATGAACACAGAAAGGTCAGATTTTGGCAAGACAAAAGTCTTGTCGCCTTGTCATACGATGCACCCAATCCTAGATTACAGCCTCACCTGTGATCAGTTACTGATCAATCAATTAGTGGGTGTGTATAAAAAGAACCCCAGCACACCAGACCTTCACATCAACTGCAACTTGACCTCTGACAACATGCCTAAGATCCACCCTGAGACCAAAGCGTTAATTATCAAGAGGCTGAAGACCAGGGGCCTCATTTATAAAGCTTGCTTACGCAAAAATCCGTGCGTGCGCGCTTCCTACGCCAACCGCGGTATTTATAAAACTCGCCTAAGGCGTGGCTCTTTGCTTAACTCTACGCCAACTCGGAACCTCCTGTAAGTTCTACGCAAAGTCTGGAGACACGGGGGGAAAAGCGACACTCATGGAGAGAAGCAGAAGTGAACAGAGCTTGAGGAAGTGTTTGATCAGAAAATCCACGTATATAGAAGAATTACCTTCTGATTTGCGCATTTAAGTGTTTGGTTCGCCAAAATACGGAGAAGGGCTGTTTATTCCACTCATTATTCTCCACAATATTATACATTTGACACTCGTGCACGAGCGCGGCCACGTTCCCGGACTCGGTGTAGCGCAGAGTCCCACAGTCCACACCGCGACCATAGACTTCTATAGAACACAGACTGTGACCAACACAGAGGACGAAATAATGACCCGACCTGAGAGAAAAACTCTTCCCTTGGACGCAGCAGGAGCCAGGCTTTGATTTAATGAACGCAACTTTAACACTTTTACTTTAGTCTTTACGCACCGAGCGCCAGAGTGACCTGAGTCTGCGGACAACACGAAGCCTACTGCCCGAACCTGACCCCAACCAAAATCTTCCCTACATTTTTGTGTAATGGAGAACTCTTGTACATGAGAGCTGCTCTCTGACAATATGAAGAACAGAATAATGCCCGTGCCCGTCCCGACCCAGACCCACACTCACAGGTTCAGCAGTTTGGATGTTTCGTGTGGACTTTAGTTGGCAGAATAACATCTGTATCTGATGTGTTTCATGCTAAATCTGTGTCCTTGTATCCTCGTGTCACTCCCTCGCTCCTTTCGCTCTCCAGGGGAGGGCATCTGAATCTCTCGCACGCGCTCATAATTTGACCATTCAGATCAACGCGTGCACGTATCTACGTGTATGTGCATAAATACAGGGCCAGTCCTCACACACTTCATAGACAGACAGCGATAAAACTCTTGCAACAGCGAAAAAACACATGGGCTTTACTGCAAAGATGTGCTGCCTAAATATTATAAAAAATGATTAAATGAAAAGATGAGTCATTGTTGTCACTTTTAGTTTTGTATTTATTTATTAAACAAGGTTTAATAAAGTCTTTAATAAAGTCTTTGTCGTGATCACGTGGTGCTGCGTGGAGCGTCCTCCCTCTGTCCCGCGTGTCTCGGTCAAACCCACTGATTATTGGCTCATGTTTAGGGAAATCTCATTCACGAGTCACTTTACATGCTCCTTTTATGGTGAGGTGGAGGTGTGAGAGGGCGTGACGTGACGTAGGTTTACGTGCGCAAATTGTAGTTGCAGGTGGGATTTATAAAGCAAAGATTGCGTGGTTTGGTGCGTGCGGTGGGTTTTCTAAATATGGAGTTTGCGTGGCGCACGCCTTGTCGTAGCTACAAGGCGTACGCACTAACTTACGACAACTCCTGCGCAGTTTTTATAAATGAGGCCCCAGATCCACTGCTGAGGTGGCTGACACCTTCAATGTGTCTCAGCGTCAAGTACAAAGAATAAGAAAAAGATCTGAAATGACTGGAGATGTTTTTGACAAGCCCAGGTCCGGCAGACCCCGCAAGACAACTGCTCGGGAGGACCGTTTGTTGATTCGAAAATCCAAGGCCAGCCCCTTTTCCACTGCAGCAGAGCTCCACCAGGCCTGGTCACCTCAAGTCCCTGTGTCAACCAGAACAGTTTGTAGAATTCTCGAAATGGCCTCCGTGGTCGAATCAGTGCACAGAAACCAGCACTAAACAAAAGGCAATTAAAAAACTGTGTGGCATTTGCCAAGGCCCACAGCCTGCTAAAAGGATGGACACTGGAAAAGTGGCAGAAGGTGGATTTCTCAGATGAATCCTCGGTTGAATTACATCACAGCCGCCGCAAATATTGCAGGAGACCTACTGGAGCCCGTATGGATCCAAGATTCACCCAGAAAACAGTTAAGTTTGGTGGCGGAAAGTCATGGTCTGGGGTTACATCCAGTATGGGGCTGTGCCAGACATTTGCAGGGTGGAAGGCAATATCAATAGCCTAAAATATGAAAAAAATATTAGCTACCTCTTACATTCCCAACCATAAAAAGGGTCAAATTTTGCAGCAGGATGGTGCTCCATCGCATACTTCTATCTCTACATCAAAGTTTCTCAAGACGAAGAAGATCAAGGTGCTCCAGGACTGGCCAGTCCAGTCACCAGACATGAACATCATTGAGCATGTCTGGGGTAGAATGAAAGAGGAAGCATGGAAGGCAAAACCAAAGAATCTTGATGAACTCTGGGAGGCATGTAAGACGCTTTCTTTGCTATTCCTGATGACTTCATCAACAAATTGTATGAATCATTGTCGAACTGCGTGGATGCAGTCCTTCAAGCTCATGGAAGTCATACAAGATATTAAATATGGATCTCACAGCACCACTACTTCATTCACTGATGTTATGCAACATATTTTTGTATTTGAAGTAAATTATTTGTTCAATTTTCTGTACGCGACAAAACTTTTGTCTTGCCAAAATCTGACCTTTCTGTGTTCATTAAATGATAAATTTTTCTTCAGTGAAGCAAATTTATTTTAGTATATAGAGCATAATTTGGGAGGGTTTTAGCTTTCATATGAGACATTTCTAAAACCAATCTATTAATTTAAAGTCAGGTTATAAGCTTTAATAATAATAATTTTATAAGCGACAAGACTTTTGTCAGGGACTGTGTATATATATATATATATATATATATATATATATATATATATATATATATATATATATATATATATATATATATATATATACACACACACACACAATATACATACACCCCATATGTACCCCATATGTACATATAGGTAAATAGGTAATCAAATATAGGCTAATTCCTCTTACCTCACATTTTATCTATATTACAGTCAAACAAATGTAAATGTATGTATGGTACATTTATAGTCATATTAAAATGAAGCTACACCGTAATAGCAATACTGCATTCCCTTACATTGGAATATTGAATTTATGTAGACTAATTTATTTGCAATTCCACTGGGGAGACGATATTGAAATTGAATCTGCATGATGCTTATAATGGCTTTGGTGTATTTCTTATTTGGAACCACTTCATCTGGTTTAACGCTGTGTAAATATTTGTACATAACAGATAACAGAATTAATAGCAGAGTTAAAAGCAAGACTGTCACTGTAAATATATTTTGGACACATTTGGTCCCATGTGACCCCTTTACCTGAAATAACCCATTACATTTCCAGTGTTTTTCAAGCTTTTATCTCACACACTGCATCAGTTCCTCTCATTCATTCAGAAGATGTAATTGTTTAGCGTCACACACTGCTGTACACATACTCTGTGAGTAATTGCCACCATGTTCGTTTCTGGTTGTATTTCTTGTAACTGTCATTGTGTTCGCTTCGTTGTAGCATTTAAATTAATTTACACAGGCTTGAAGAAACACATACAATAAGAGGACAAGGTGATACCAAAAATTACAAGAAAGATTTGAACTGAAGATTTCAGATTGGCGCAGGTGCGGAACTGAGGCAAATGACCTCAGGGTTAAAGCAACCTTGCCAAAAGCAGAAGATTTCTTTTTTAAAGAGTGAAATATATTTTTGATGAAAAGTTGTGCCTGAAGCAAGCAGACATCCATGTGTGATATGACTTATGAGTAAGCAGTCCCTTAGCCACCTACAGGGAGTAATGCCAAAACATGATTTGTAAAAATGTGAAAATTCAGTTCCCTTTCCTTGTCAAATTAAAAAGGAATGAGAAGCAGTTTCTAGTGTATTCTGTCATGGTTGAATAGACCGGCACCTCTGGGGAGCCACTAAACCAATTTTGATCTTATTAATATTATTCAGTGATATCAAAGTTATACATTCTTGATAAAAGACAATGATATTGTGACTAAAGATAGGTTCTAAAATCCCAGAGGGTCATGAGGGTCTGAGTGAGGCTGCTCTAAGAATAAAATCCCTAAGTGTCATAAAAATGTAAAGATGCTTTCATATTGCATTAATCAAGGCTGTGCTGTTATTTTAATTACACTGTTTGACCAGACTTATGCTATTAGGGTTCCATATCTAACCTAGATGAATCCTACATTTGATGAAAGCCCATGCAGATTCAAATATTCTTCTATTTGCTCTGGGGCACACCATGAATAGGTAAGCAGGGCCCTCACTGTTTGAATATGATGCATGGGTAATGGGAGATTTATTTCGCATCATATCGTAGCCAGACATAATACCTAACCTATTGATTGTTTGTTTTGGAGACACACCGTATACCTAGCCTTAGGTCAGCTGAAATAATTGGGCAGAGAGAAATTCAACTGGTGAAATGAAATCAATGATATCTCCTAGTGATTTCAGGAAGGTAACAATTAAGTGCTCCAATACAATGCGGTTGTTGTCCCTACTGAAAAGCCAGCGCACTCTAATGACACGCTTGGTGAGGATGAACAGACAGGGGGCTGTGACGGAGTTTGTGCTTCTTTTAAAAAAAAAGTTGGCTTTAAACAGGGGCAGTGAAGTTTGGGATCCAGCAGTATATACTGTCAGACAGCACTAATCGATTCTGCACAGGGAGCATTATGGAGGTGAGAGAGGACTGGTGTCAAACCTAAACAGGAACTCCATAATTCCCCTTTCAGCCAATTACAAGGTCCATTGGGACAGCGGGGCACGGAGAGCAACAGCTTCCCAGACAGGTCTGCTTTGAGGTGGAAGACTATATTGTAATTCATGTTTCCCCATCTGGTCCCATTACCCAGAATACTCTGTTTAATTCATTTCATTCACAGGTTTTGTGCGCATACTTCACAACCAATTTACTTTACTTTTTTTTTATGCTAAACACCTTTTATATCCCTTCAACCACTGTCTCACCCAAATAATAGCTTCCCCATTTTCTTTCTAAGCTTCACTTAATCTGTGTCACACTTTCTACAAAACCCATTTTGCCCCATTGTTATTTTCCTTCCATACCTCTGTTACATGCCCCTTTATGCTCCATGGTCCTCTTGTTTACTCTCTCCCTTTCTCCATTTCTTGTGTAGCCTCATCCAACCTTCAGGAGAACGACTTTGAGGATTGTTAGTTTGTCCAAGCCCTTAAATATGGAAAGTGTTTTTTACAAATGCAAGCTGTACTGAGATCTGAATCCACACTGCTATTCCCATCATGTGTGTCATATGGCTCTTCAGTGTTATCAGTGTTTATCTTTGAATCAGATTAGTCTTATTTTCCATCAGTTTCCTTTGGGACTTATGTGGATGCTCTGTTTGTGCGTCCCCTCAGTGCTAGAGCAGGATGAAATGGAGAAACCAGTGGTGAAGATGGAACCAAATGGAGAAGTTAATCCCGAAGATCAAATTCAGATGACGGCATTTGAGATCAATCTGAAAGACAAGAGGTTTGTTGTGCCCCACAGGGCTTTGCATTGAGCAGGGCATGGGCTTTCATGTAACACGTGATATCCATAAGTAGGTCTTCATACATTCTTCTTGCATCATGTCTGTCCTCTGTGTGTTGCAGGTTTCAGGACGACTTTGGGCCGCTGGTGGAGGGGTGTGGCTGTTACTGCTGCAAGAACCACCAGAGGGCGTACATATCACCTGCTTGTGACCAATGAACTTCTGGCTGGTGTTCTGCTCATGATCCACAACTTGGCTCACTACCAGGGCTTTTTCAATGCTTTGAGAGATGCACTGGCCAATGACAAACTGGATGTACTGAAGCGCCAGGTCCTGGGAGAGAAAGGAATGAAGTAGATCAAGAATTACTAAAATCTGGGGACTTTATCAACTAGAGATCACTGCATTGACCACAGGCTGCTGAAATGTGTGAGGTCAACAGATTCACTACAAGACTCTAAATCCACAAATGATAGAGGTCCCTTTTGTTTCAAAGCTTGTCTCTGGAGTGGGACACATGTTGCAACAAAGAGGACAAGATCTGAAGAACACAACGCCTCAATGTCTGGGCTTTGATTTCTTGTCCTAGTTTAACACCAAATGAGGCTCACTACTGATCAAAAGAGATAGCCAGGAGATGAAGTCAGGGATAGGTGTCTGAGGAGGGAAAGGAACCTGATGAGAAGTCATCATAAATTTGCATAGAGGAATGTAAGGATAAATGTGGCTGGACTATTGATTGTCTCCGTGTGCCTGCTCTTGCTAATCTGATCTCAGGTCAGTCCATGACTAATGTCCTTTGGACCTATTGACACTGGAGGTGATTCATCTTAAGACCTTTGAAGTATTATGTAACTTAGGTAAAAGTTAACAGTCACATTTAAATAGGCGCTCCAGTACTTAGCTGAATCCTGCATCGTCCACCACATGAGGCTGTGTTCTGCATTAAACATGGCCGCTTGGTTGGATACTGCTTGTGCCATGCAGATGTGACTGGTGTTGTCTCATGGGTTTTGGGGAGGTTAACTGGAGGTTCGCTCTGACAGCTCACCTGCTTGTGCAGCCGAGAGAGGATAAAGATGAGGTAAAGATATGGGTCTGTGCTGCCGCCTGTGCTGAGCTGGGGAGGGCTTTTTGAAGGTGAGGGGATGTAATTGACTGCCAGACCGTGCACATGTCTGAAGGGGACAGGTTGGGGGAAAAGGTACACTGACAGATTTATGGAGCAACCATGAGGATTTTTGTTGTACTTGTCCAGATTCAGCATTTTAAAGAACTAGATTGGTGGATTTGCTGTCATCATAAGACAGCAGTGTGGTGCATAAATGTTTGAAGAAATGTAGGCCTAAAATTAGTTTTGAAAGATGAAAAGGAGAAACTTTATTAATGGTGCCGCTAAACAAGTGCTGACCTCTGGCCTATTTATTTTAAAGTTTAATGGGATGCCAGTAGACAGGACTTGTGAGGAGGAGGTTGTAAAGTCTGTCCCCAGATTATCCAGTAAAAATAGAAGAGGTAGAGTGCTCTGGTTTTCCTCAGATAATGTCATGTATTATTGAAGAAATATTGTTGGTGCTCCATCGCCTAAACTAATAACTAACTGTAACTAATCACTGAGACAATGCAATGCGAGGCAATCTTATACAATGATTGTAGTCATAAATTCAAAGTAATAAATGGGTCTTTGTGCCACTTTGAAAACTGCTTTGTATGTCTTCCTTGTCGGTGCTCGTAATGACTTTTGAGTGAAATAAGTCTTTTGAGCTTTTGACCTCAAACTACAACAGGGGAGCATAAAGTGATTATTAATGATGATATGCAACCCAGTGTAATAGAAAATAAGTATAGGGGTTATGATAGGTTCATGTATATCTATTGCACTAGTAGTTCTCTCTCAAATTTCTCTCTCTCTTCAGTAAACAGACATATTATTGGATTGCTACATTTTGCTGAGAAAACTTCTTCTGGGTCACTTTACTAGGTCATAGCTCATTTTACAAAATATGCTGAGTCATGAATCCACTGTAGACAGTCCATAGGTTTTATAGAGTAATATAAATGAATGTGCCAAATCCCTGCAGCATTTGCAGTGCTTGTATAAACAGTGATAATCTCCCCGGCCTCTACAAGTTAATAAAATCTTAATAACATCACTGCCATGCTGTACATGAAACGTTTATAGTTTCCTCCAAGCAATGTACATTTAAGGTATAGTTTTAGGGTTGGGGAATATATGACTACTAGTAAAACTTTACATTTAATTTGTCCCTGCTTTGGGAAGCAGACATTCAACTGAAATACCCTCAAAAATCTGTGAAATGTTTGTACATATCATTTGAGAGACTTAATAAAAAATGATTAGAATTTGGAAACTTAGTATTGATATTTGTATAGCTGACCAATATGTATCCAAATAACATGCATACATTTTTTATTAATAATAGTAAAATGTAAGCTTTTATACTACTAATGATCCCTTGAGAATATTTTAAGAGCTCATTAATTTTTCTTATTCATTCTTTTTTTACTGATTGAGAAAAATATAGAATCAACTCTCTGCTTTGCTATATTTCTTTTATTCAAGTCAATAGACTTCTAAAATTGAGCATCTCTTGAAAAGTTGTATGAAATATATGATTTCCATTAGTGTCATTGTATTTTACATATCAATAGCGTTCTCAAACAGCACTTAGCAGCAGCCTACATCGCTCTGATTGAGTTGAAACCCAGTTAATAATTTCCTCCTGGAGAGTTTGCGGCCACTTTGCAGAGTTTGACTGACACTGACAGTTATTCACATACTTATTTTCCATGCACGTCCTTGACTGTCGCATTCACTGACACTGGGCACAATTTCCATGTAAAAGATGTCTGAATGACAGTCAGCAGGTGGCCCTCAGAGCTTGTTTCCACCAATTATGCAGACGGGGGAGGGCTATTCAGACTCCTTCACTTTGGGTTTCTTCTCTGTGCACTCTCTGACAAGTTTGTACATGTGCACCGCTTTATCTTACACTTCACAAGACAGTCAGGATTGTTATCTGCTGTTGTGGCATTGTAACATGAAAAAGAATGAGTTGACCACTCTCCCCTAAACAACAGTGAGGCTCATAAACTGGTGCAATGAGAAGAGAAGAAGGATGATAGCCACTAGTTTTATCGGGGAGAGATTGTATTGTCTGTTCGATAGTCTGTGCAGGCTTTAGTGGAGAGGGCAGGTCATGTGTTGTCCAGTTAAAGGTGCACTATGTAACTTTTTGGTTGGGGGTCTGTCGCCTACTTGTTTCTATGGATGTGCAGTTTTTCTCCCTGGAATGTTTCACAGTATGACATTAAACAGTTATACCATACAATTCTTAAATTACAGGTGTTTTTACTGCTCAAAAATACCTAGAAAAACATGAATTCTGACTGAGCAGGGTTGCTTCTCCACAGGTCTGACTTTTAACTTGGTGTGGTTTGGTCTCCATGATGATAGAAAGGTTGAATACCATACTGTGAAACATTCTCCACAAAGCAATAACATCTCCATAGAATGTTAAAGCAAAAAGCATTTGACGACCCTTCACCAGAAAAGTTACACAATGCACCTTTAAGTCACTGCTTGGATGAAATGTCATAATATCACATTTTAGTGTTAGGATTATTGTAGGATGTCTACATGTGCTGGTAACCATGGGGTTCAGTGGTGGAACATTATGAAGTAAAGTACTAAAGTACTGTACTTAAGTAAACTACAGATACCTTAAATTTTACTTAAGTAATTTTTAAAGTAGACGCTTTTACTTCACTACATTTGAGACCAGGTATCGGTACTTTCTACTTGACTGCTTTTACTTTTGCTTGAGCATATTTTTGCTTCAGTATTTGTACTTTTAGCAGTTTTTAGCACTTCTTCCACCACTGTACCACTGAACCTTTTTCTGTACATTACTTTGACTTAATAACTTGAACAAATAAAAAAAGGAATCTTCACCATTTGTTTTCACAATTACTGCCACCATAACCAAATAAGAATGAAATCCATCTCTTTCATTTCATTCACATCACATTGCCATTCCTCTATTTTGTCACACTAGTTCAATTCTGATCAATTCTGAATTAAACAGGAAAATGTATGTGGCCTAAACAGCCAGATAATAAAGCACTTAACATTTAGATTTGCTTTTATGAAGCATAAATTGAATTGAAATCAGTTACTATTTTTGCTTCTACCTGTAAAATTAAATGATCAGTTAACTGACTAAGCCTCCCATCCCTAACAAGGAGCTGCATTGACAGCACTACTCACAATAGAGGATATGTACTCTGGATATTCAGGTCTATATATAGTCTCAGAATATTGCATTTTTTATGGGTGATGCACAGCATAATCCATCTTGTTTTGTCTTGTATCTTGCACTTTAGACAGACAAAATTGTATACTTGGCATTAATCAATATAACTGGATGCGAATACTTTCCCTTCTGATTAACCTACTTGAAGCATTTCATATGGTTTGTTATGATATTATATATCCAGATGGGGGGCAAGAGACCTATTTCTTGTTGGTTCCCCAAACCTCACATTCTGAATCTGAATATTTCTAGTAGTGAATTGATCCTTGAACTCTTGAAAAGTGCGCAGGGACAATAGTAATTCCACTTATTGCGCACCTCTATTGAATATTATTGGCCCACAGAATGTAATTTCATCTGACACCCAGCAATTTGGGCGCTGTCAATGTGGTAAAACCTTACTCATTTATTTATAAGAAAGATCACTTGAGTGTGTAGTATCACTAGTGCTGTCATGCGATTAAAAAATTTAGAGATTAATTAATTATGATCTGTAATTAATTAATCTAATTAATCTCTTTTTAATCTCACCTAAAAATTTCTGAGAAAAGCCTTCAATTTGAGGTATTTTCATTTAAATTCATTATTACATTATTGTGGCAGATCAATAGACTGATATAGATTTAAAAAGTGACTTTATAAAGTCATTTATTGTTTAACAAATCTCTTCAAATTTGCTGTTGAGCCCAAGTCTCCATGAATAAGAAACTGTTTGCTGTAAAGTAGCAAAGACTAGGAAATCTGTTAATTAATGTATTAAAAATGTTTCTGTTGCATGTGAAGCACTTTGTGCTACATTTCAAATGTATGAAAAGTGCTATACAAATAAAGTTTGATTGATTGATTGATTGAATAAAAAGTCCAGTCTTTCCTTAACCATATTAAAATATTAATGATAGAGAAATGCTTTATATATGAGATCACTGGTTTTAGTCCTGGTTTAGACCTGGTTTAGACCTACTTTAGTCCTAGTTTAGTCCTGGAATGGGTTAGTCCTGGTTTTAGTCCTGGTGTTAGTTCTGGTTTAATCCTGGTTTAGTCTCCGGCATCCTTGTAACATTAAAAGTTGTAAAATGTGATAGGTGACCCTAAAGTATCCCTTGTCAGTCAATAGTTGTGTGTCACATATTATTTAATTACCCAACAAAAGCCGTGTCTCTTATCATAAGAGACTCTTCAAAACATAAGAGTCTTATGTTTTTAATGTTTTTCATTGTTGTCCTTGGTTTATACCCCTCTATATCTGTGCAAAGTTTTAAATACTTGTCATAAATTATTTTGTGCTTTGAATCATTATTGCAAGGTACTTAATCTGATCATTAAATGAGACTGATTTGGACTGCACGAATTATAGCTTGATTGCTGTATCTGCATCATGTAATCAATTAGCTGGTGTCTTTGGATATATCATTTTCATAACATTAAGAGAAGATTTATGGTCGCATATATTCCATTGTTGGCTACTATTTTTCTTCCAGCCTGCTGAATTTACATGGGCGGACATAAAATAAAAATGGGCAGCACTGTATATAGATCGGGTCATGTATTCCCAATTCCCATTAAATAGACAGTGACCAATTAGATACACAGCTACCACCTACAGTAACTGCCATATATAGCTGTGATTCCCTCTCTTCGTCATGCACCAAGGGAAATTCATAATTTGCAGTTTACCCATACATAATTTACTGTTCAATAAGATTAATTATTGTAGGATCATGACTTTTTAGTTGTAGTAGACTGGTTTCGTGCTTTGTCTCCATGGTGATCTTTAACCTTCACAATGCAATGCCTATAAATAATCAGTTTTAAACCAAGGCGGCTGGTGTACTTTAGAATTCATTTTATACAATTAATTTATCAGGCAACAATGTTTTGGTGAATATTTGATCCAGGCTGTAACACTGAACAGAATAATGCAGGAGTGTAGATCGGCATGCTGAAGTGAAATGTAGAGAGCAGGTCATATGGGGTAATGCTACAGCACCCCTGGTTAATGAAGCTCCTGGCCTTATACTCCCTTTATAGTCCCTGTGAATTCAATCCTAATCCGGGAGATATTTTTCCTTCGTGGTTTAAATTACAACTTGGAGAGGCTCAAGGTTTGGGGATAGCCAGTGTGATATATGTTGAAGTAGAGGCTGAGCAGAGCATAAAAGGGTCATAATTCTATTGATTTAAAAAGCACCCCATGTGTATACAGAGCAAATGTGCTAGCCATATCTTCAGAGTACTAAATAGACTACCTCAAACCTTAAGAGCATAAAGGAGATCAGATTCAAATCTATGACTGTCAGAGTGATGTCAGGGTTTCTCAAACTCTGGTATGGGCTGGTGTGGGTATGCCCCTGATGGTATGTGGGATTC